ACGGAATAATATTTATCCTAATGTAATCGCTGCTGCCGCGGCGATGAACGAGCAATCGTTTCGCCGGGTCGAACGCGACCCACTCTCCTGCATATACACGTCGAACGCAAGTCGCCGATCCTCAGCTGACCCCTCGCGCTACGTCTCCTCGTGGACGTGGTGCGAGAAAAGGCTAGAATCGTAATCCAAGGCCACGCGAACCTTCTGTTCGCAAATCAAAGTCCCTTCCGGACGTTACATTATCAATTCATTAAAAATAAAGTTTTAAACGTTTTCGTCATTAGAGGTTGTATTTGAATTATATATTATACACCGTGAGCTTTAGAGACGTTTAAGAGTATATGAAATATATAAATGAGACGGGTAAACAGCTGCTTTTTAACTACCTCAAACATTTTTACAATCGATTTTATGAAATTGATTGTAAACATTGTATTTCATTGAAATTAAGAAATGGAATCATTTACGGGAAAAAATATTTGTTTAATCCAATAGTATATTTCATTAAAATATTCCATAATTTCAATGTAATCCATGATGTTGTTCATTTAATAATATCAATTGAGTTTAAAGTTTTTCCGTCGATTTTCCCGGATGAGGCGGAAAATTTTGGAAAATCTGAGTTCATCATCGGAAAACTGAGGCAATTTCCCATCGAAATGATGCGTTACATTTTTCTTCTAGGTGCATATAGATACTTTTACAGTGAGTTACAAATTTAACGATTCGACTAAATAATGCCGCGCTGTGCGGCACTCGGATATTTGACATTAAATGTTGTTTATCAACACTTATTTATCAACTTTTTAATAGGATTAAAATTTCTAAACTCATATTTAGGTATGTACTTTCAATTAAAAATGATAAATGTACAAAATTCATTGTGCAACATTTATTATTTTGTACATTTATCGAATTTCCCATGTTATTTCGTCAAAATTGCCCTAGTGTGCTAGTACGGAATTTCGCCACTACGCGGCGTGACGGTGTCGTTTAGTCCTCAATAGCTTGATACGATTAATAAATATGTGTAATTGTTCAATTATTCTTAAGTTAAAACTATAAGTGCAGGTAGGAATAAATGAATATGTATATAACTTGTAAAATCAACAAAATGATTAACAATAATAATTAAATAGTTTAAGATCTATACTCCATTACAGATACTGGAGGAAAGTTAATTAGTATTTGTCATTAAAAACACTTTACTTTTGAAATTTTTTTCCTTTATTTTAAAGAAATATTTCATAGAATGAAAAGAATATTTTATTTCGTTTACAAAATATTTCATTGAGCCGAGATAACTATTATTTGAATGAAATAAATAAAATATAGATTTGATGAAATATTTTATCAGTCTAATAAATTTATTTTCTTTAATGGATGAATTATTTAACAATTTTAACAAAATAATTTCATTCATGCAATAAAATAAAAATTATTATTTAAATGAATATCTATGAATTTCATAGATTGTATTTAATTACATAATTTTGTTGAATCAATGAAATTTTCATTGTTTCAATGATTTTTTTTCTCAGTATACGTTGAGCGGACTACTCCAGGTGATTTCCGTACGATAAGATCGCGACTTCCCGGAGAAAATCATCGTCGAGTCCAGATTCCAACCTAGTGCGTGGAGCTGGCCGCCCGGGACGATATTCGTGCGAAAACATCGCGACTTCCCCAAGAATCTTCGATATAAGCGATTCATAAGCGACAGCGCGTATACACATACACACATGCAATACGTATGAGGTGTGACTACTTTTTAGGTGTGACCATTTTTCATGCTTTTAACTTTAATAATGTTGTTTTTATCGAAAGTCGTAAACTTTTCGAAAATTCGAATACCTCATATCGATAGGATTTTCCCAAGGAATCTGATGGGCTTATCAGATTCTCGATATCTCTTATCAAATTTAAATGAGAGCGAAAAGAAATTAGTTGACAGAAAGTAGCGGCGTGTCGTCACTTAGTTCCTGTCATATTTACCAGGTGGAGCGCGACACACGCTCATCGATCAAAGAAGTTGCAGCTACTCAATACGAAATGAAAAAAGCTCATTGTTCGTTGCAATCGACGGAGTCTCGGCCTGCGATCATACCTACGGCTAAGGCAATGCGTTTACTTACCGCTCATACATAATTCTGTATAAATGTTGATATTTACATTCTAGTTAACACTGGCTTACACAAGCAAATCCCCTCGAACAACTTTCAAATCGTTCCATCTCTTTCCCTTACTTCTTTAAGCAGCTAATTCGTATCAACTTATGCAGCGGCTCACGTTAACGGCAAAACTTGTAACTGGAGATTATGCTTCTCTCTACACGCATCTATCTTTACTCAATAGATTCTATGGATAAAGCCTCTAATGAGCTCTAATCTAGCCCATGATTGATTAAGCACATGAGGATTTTCTCATGCAAGGCGAAAAGCTATTCTCGCCGCATCAAACGCGTATAGTTATAGAGCTTTGATCAATGAATAAACTTATATAGCTGCTGGCATCCTTAATTCAAAAATGACCTTCGAGACGCGAGAGTAACTTGTCGAAAGGCTCGTGTTAGAAGTTTTAGGACTTTGACCGGGCTCGTGGCTCTCAATGCTAAATGCAGCTCTGCTTTGCTTTTGTAGTTGCGATCCAAGAGCGAGCTGGCTATCTGCACCTTGTACTTCTAAAAGTATAATTATTATTATCATTATTATTATTATTATCATCGTGATGATAACGATAGCAATGCACATAAATGCATCGCAACTATTGCGATCAATTAAATCTGCAGTAGTCAAATTTCCACGCGCGTTCACAGCATAATTCGTTCAATTTATCGTACCGTCACGCTTTTCAGCGAAATAATTGTTCATACTTAATTTTAAAATTTATTTTCCAATGTGAATCTTTTGCTATATAGATACAGTGATTTAAATTCGATAAAAATGAAAAGAGAAAAAAAGAAGACGAAAATTAACGCCCAGAGCGAATCAATTGTCAAAGCGCGCGCGCGAATATAATAGCAGCTACTAAGTGCACACAGGTGTGTAGGTGTGCTTGCGCGCGTGTATACGTACAATATTCCAATACTCGTATATTTCTCCCCCAACGGAGTGTAATAACTTTTGGCGCATAGCACTTAAGTAAATGAGGCACACGTGTACACCCAGCCACACACGCGTGCACGTACATACACACACACACACATACACATACATATACTCGGGGGGCGTATAATGATATACATACACTCTTGGGCTTGGCAGCGTCGAAGCTTTCTATACGAGCTTTTCGGCCTCTCTCTGTGCATATTATATACTTTGCTGCAGATGCTGCAGTTTCGCTAATGTTAACTCAGGCTCGGCAACGTATACTCGCTTATACGACTGACTTGGGAAATGTACTCTTTACACTTGTTTTGCTCTTTTATTCTTGCTGCGATGCGCTTGTGTGCGCCTTTATTTCATTCGAAACGAATCGGGCGTAGGCTCGGGGCTGATAGCCGCGCAAAAAATGCATCTCTAAATTTTACCGCTTCGAGGTGAAATTTTTCATTTTCATTTCTCTCTTTCTCTCTCTTTCTCTCTCTCTCTCTCTCTCTCTCTCTCTCTCTCTCTCTCTCTCTCTCTCTCCGACTCGACCAGTATAATGACGAAGCGACCTACGCAGGCTTACGTACGCGCTACCTCGTTACCGTAATCGAAAATCAGATTTGGCCGAGTACGCGAGTGCGCCGCAGCGTTTAATTATGAGCATACCCCGCGTGCGAGAGAGAGGGAAAGAGAGAGAGCGAGTGTCAACGTCGGGTGACAACGGGAAATTGAAAGCGAGTTGCTGCCGCGTTCCGATGAAAAAGGTCGACCTACCGTACTTCCGACCTGCGCCTACTTGTGTATTATTCAAACAGAGACTGCTGCATAAAAAACTCCACTTGATGATGCGGCCCAACGTACTTGACCCTCATTTCGACTTGTATACATTTTCACTCGCGATTTTCAAGATGCGCCAGCAGATATATATATCGCGATATTTATAATTTTATTTTTGCACCCTTTTTTTCTGTACAGTACAGTTCGGAAGCTCTGAAACACTCAAACATAGAATGAAAATAATTACTTTGAGAGAATCATTTTTAATGTCGTTGGGAGAAACATTTTTTTTAATCTACCATGCTTTTTGAAATTTTTTATTTTAAAATTATTTATCCATTGAATATAACTTTTTACTTCCAGTTAGAAACAGTTAATAATACTGGGGAACTTAATAATATTGAAACATTTAACACTTTTATGGGTTACAGTAATTCGAAATTATTTTATTAAATATCTTTGGGCCAATTTCAAACAATCAATATACTTTTGGGATGTTATAAAATCCATCAGAGCCTACGTGATAGACTACAATAAATAAAAAATCAATCATTTAGATGAGAGACCAATAATTTTTCGAGATGGAAATTGAAAAATCGTTGGTATTTATGTTTTAGCGTTAATGGCATGGTATCTGTCGAATCAAAATCCTCTTTCTTCGTGCAATTTTCACAAGATACATGAACGCATATACTTTTTATTCCACCTCTCATCGTTCAATGACTCGTTCAGTGCATCGCAACCTAGGGAGTATATATCCAATCCGTTAATTGAAGCACGACCTCAATTTTGACACAGAGATATAGAGAGAGAAAGGGAGAGAAAATCAATGCCCACGTTGATGTAGTACCGTTTCTATAGTGCGGTTCATATTTTTTCACCCATTACAGGTGTACAATTTAAGCCTTAATCTTAATTTAGACTTTTCTAAGAAAGATGTACCTAAAACACGAAGCAATTGATCGATTTCGTCGAGGTCATTGAACTTGAAATTTAATAGTTGGTTTTATGCCAGTTTTATTGATTTATTATATTTCATTGATAACTTCATGCAGCATGTACCGCTCTTGAATTTTGTACAATTATGAAAATTTACAACTTGACACACTTTTTATTAATTTTTACTGTTTTCAGGTCTGCTTCCTGACCCCTAAAAATGACGACTGAAGTGAGGGTCGCTACTACTCGGCCTTCCGTGCCAACCATAAGTCACTCGAAAAAGCCTATTATTATATATCCAACAGGTGAGAATTGTTTCAAAATTTCTCATAATAATTTATCTCTCATTGAATTCAAAAGTATTTTTTTCTTGTTTATTCGTATTATCATGTTAATTATTTTAGGTATTAAGTATGCATTACAAGAAGAAAACAAAGAACTTCTTAACTAAGTATTGCAATTATTATATTACCATGCGAATTTTTTGTAAGTGATTGTTAAATATAAGTTACAGTAAAAAAATTTTTCATGAATAATAATAATAATAGAATAGACATTTTAATTAATGAAAAATTTTTTTTTATTCGTTGTTTTTAATCATAGTACTATTACGGAAGATAATTAAAGTCATTTAAATTTGAATGATTGCCACGAACGGCCGTTTGCGTCGGCGCGTTAAACATGCGCACCGAAAGAATGACCGACAACGCTTCTGAACATTCCTACGCTGATTCCAATTAATTTCAATTCTTACCACTACGAGGCGTAGATGAGAAAAATTTCTTCCCAAAATCGAAAAACAAAAGTTTGGTGCTTAAGTAGAGCTACTGAGCGACTGATCAAATTGTCTTCAGTAGGGTCAATACTGATCCACTTAGCAGATGATGAAAGTGATGGCTGAGACTCTTTATGATGCTCACCAACTGCCTACGAGATCGAATATCGCACGATCCGTAGGAAATTCTGATGCTACTGAAGCCAAAAACCACAACTCTAATTAAATAAAAGATAATAAACTTCAAACCACTCGGGTTGGGAAGAAAGTTTGTTATAAACGATTTGATTGTTTAAATATTAAGAAACCATCGTAAAGTGTTGCTGCAGCTACTAACTAATTAAGCGTATTTATATTAAAAAGTTTTACTAATTTTTTCAATATGTTTCAAATCACGAATAGATGCATACCATTTATTAAATATGACTAAAATATCAATTTAAAAAAATACATATGTTCGGGTACTTATCAGTTATATTGTTAGAATGCGAAATTAAAATATATATATTCAACACCACTATAAATCACCCCATATAAATATAGTAAAAAATAAGATTATTGTTTATTATTAAATTCGTGCTTTATATTACTAGATGAATGATACAAATAATGAAATACTAGTAATAAAAATCTGCTATAAAAGAAATATAGAGGCACAGTTAAGTGCAGCTAGTCAAAATGTTATTTATATTTTCAATATTTTCGATCTACTTTTACGTCTAATAACACAATGAAAAGAAAATTTTTTAAACTTACGTCATTACGTAAAAATTCAATATGGTACTTATTGCATTCGCTAAGCGCTTATTGTTGCAGTAACAGTGTAAATCTTCTTCACTTGGGAAGTTGAAATTATGATCAATTACTACTCCATGCTTGATGAATTCTTCAATAAGTTTGGGATTAAAGTGTTTTAGAACCGCTTCTAATGCAGACCATTGTTCATTCTCAGTACAGTTAAGCTAGCAGCATCAGAAACGAGATTTTTCTCAACGTACCGATGATTAGTTACATTTTTATGGCTAGATATCTGAAATGAAAACGAAAATAAACATTTTAAATCTTTTTAAAATTATAACAATGATTGTTTACGAAAATTTTGAGAAACTATCTTAACTACTGAACGTAATTACAATTTTCTATAAATAATACTAGGAGAATCGTTTCTCCTTTTAAAGTTGATATCTCACGGGACAATCGATCTTCTGCATATAAGTGTGTAGAAAACAATTAAGTTGACTTCGGCCCTGTGTACGAATCCTATACAAGTACGTCAAAGAAATATGTTTGAAACATTTAGCCGTCATACGTACATATACGCGTGGAGGCCTGCCGGAGAAATTCGATTCTCACGTTCAAGGTCGACAATTGTGCCAGGTATTGTTAGCAACACGCGATACACCGTCGTTCGGCGCTCATACGTGCGCGCACTGCAACACACGGCCGAGAAAGTTACCAGAGGTCAGCTGCAGCAGCAGCAGGTGCTTTGCTTCGAAATATTTAAAAGGCGCGCGCGAGCCTTGACCTCGTCGTCATTATAATATCGCACAAGCAGGGTGTACATTGCAAGCGCCACGGCTCAGTGCCTTTTATACCGCTGCATGTACGCGCGATCGGGAATAATTGATACGTGAAATTCCACCGACTCCGAGGAAACACGCACGTGTACACTCGCAGGGCTGCTCGGGCAATTTCCTTGAGCCGCGCGATCTGACTTTTAAAATATGGGACAGTCGGTGTACATCAAACTTCGGGCAACGCGCAAGGCTTTCCCATCCCAAAGTTAAATGAAATTATTACTGTGCTACGCGAGATTTCTAAAAGACTATTCAAATGACGCTTTCACCGTTTGTCACGAGATGCGCTGATTGCGTTGCAATTCAAATGAATTGCCGTGAAACAATTAGAAGAGTATATATTCAGACGCTTTCGTGCCAGAACATCGATATAATATGTACGTGGCCTCACCTGATGTGACTGGAATTGATACTCAGTGTATACTACACACACAGACACACGACTGTATATTATAATCTCGTACAAGAATTCATCGTTTTGCGACTCTTCGATGCATGTATCTTTAAGCGCGAAGCAAGAAAATACGAAGATGCAGTATAATGCTGTGTCTTGCGCTGAAAAAAGCCATACCACCTATGAACGAGAATTAACTAGTTAAAAACTGTCAAATAATGATAAAAAATTTTTTAATTATTTTAACAATCTTTAAATTTTAATATGCAGAACTGCTAAAAAATTAGTAAATTTAAACAATTGAATCGGCATCCCTAACATTTGAATTATTTTGTTATCTCTTGAATTTCTCTTTGAAAATTAATGAGTTTCATGAATTGGTAACTACAATTCATATTTGAAATTAACTCCTTAATATGACTTGCTCCCAATTTATGCAATTAAATTTGCTACTTTTTGTGCTTCAAAATTCGCATATAATGTCTACGTCCATATCACTTTGAAAGCTGCGGTTCTAGTCCGATCACCGAATACAAGCAAAGTTGAGCGCGGTTAGTATTTGGATGGGTGACCGCCTGGGAATCCCGCGTGACGTAGATATACTCCTTCTTCAGACCTTTTTTTTTACTTTTTTTTCTATTTTTTCTACATCGAAACAAACCCTCCCGATATTTCACGATATCGAGCTTTTGACAGAGTCTCGTCTCAGAGTCGCGTAGCTGAAATCGATCTATACTAAACTGCTGAGACATCGCAGAGCCACTTTACGTGCAATTAGAACAATAATGAAAAAAGTTGAATTAGAAATATTCGTAGGAAGGCTCGGCTTACCAAATAGTCTCCTTATCTCTTACCGAAAAGTCTCGCCCCCGCCTCAACTTGGCCTTATGGCTAACTTGAGAATTCGTGCTTATTACACAGATGTGTGCCAATAGTGTAAAGCTGAATATTGTTTTACCTGCTTATTGTTGCGTGTGTGCCGATCCCGTAATAAATTTGCTTCCTTTTTTTAATATGCTTTGATATCTGGATAGATTATGTCTACGTCCATATCACTTTGAAAACTACGGTTCTCGTCCGATCACCGAATATAAGCAAAGTTGAGCGCGGTTAGTACTTGGATGGGTGACCGCCTGGGAACCCCGCGTGACGTAGGTACCTCTCCTTTTGATTTCTTGCAAGCAATATTTTTTTCATTGCTGTAAATTTTATGAGATGTTACTTTTTTTTTCTTGCTTAATATTGGGTACACTACATCAGTAGTCACTGTTACGAATCGTATTATAAAATTCATTGCAAATAATAACTTAATCCAAAATCATGTTATAAAATTTACTCTCAATTTTTACTTGCCTAAGCAGAAATGTTCAAACTAATAATGGCCTAACTTGAAAATGACTGTTTCGAAAAAATAGACCAGTTCCAACGACTTTTAATGCGATACTACTGCTAGATAATGCAGTCTTCATCAATAGATGTATAAAGCTGCAAGTGGCAAAGTAAAAATAATTTTATAAGTCACGGTTTTGAAGCATCCGTCTTCGTATTTTTGGACAATAAATGTGTATGCGAGTGTAAAACTTACATAAAAGTATTTTTCCTTTCTCTTGATGCTTAAACTTTCGGGTATTAGATCTCGGCATGATTTCTATGTTTAGACGGGTGGTGAAACAAAATTGCATCATTAAAATGTGCATTCAAGTATCTAACTTTTTTTCTAATACTTACTAGTGTACGTCGTCAATGATATAAAGAGTACCTCGATGTCCATTAAACGTTAGCGGTATTAACTCTTAACAAATCCCTATTGCATTGTTATCTGAAAAAAATTGTTTCAAAGAAAATATTATTATAAAATGTAATATAATAAAATATTTAAATTATAATATTTTTCTACTTACTAAAAATCTCTACGCTCGTAATCTCTTCTGCCGACATGAAAAGCATAGAAGCATGAAAATCGTCCTCGTTGCGCTGGAGACGGCATCGAAAAGATACTGTCCACTCAATTTGATTTCCTGTAAAAGCTTACAAAATACGCATACATCGTCGATAATTATATTTACATTTAAATTAAATCCTTATTTATTTAGTTTAATTACTCACTTCTCTGGTCTATTTTGCGCTCGCTTGTACGGACGTACGCTCGTTTTTCACAGTTTGACCTTCTATACCCAACGCGCGTAAAGTAAAATCCCTTAAAAAAAATTTGTTATGACACATTTTACAGAGAATTGGCCATATGTATTCGCTAGTAATGTACTAGTAAAAAGTGGGATGTAAATCATTCAAAGTTTTTACGCATAACCGTAAAAAATCAATAACATTCTCGAGGGCGTTCGATGTACTTGGCAAGAAAAAAGACTTTGTTAGAAAGGTATTCTAGATGCTGAGTGAACTTCACGAACATAAAAACAATATCTTGAAGTCTTTTATAAAAAAATGGCAAAAAAGTAAACATAAGTTATTCAGTATGAAACAGCTATTCGGCGCAGAGTTCGTAAATGGATTTCTTGAAAATAAGGGGTTATTTAGAATTCCGCTCTGTGGATATCGTGCTGAAAGAAACATATTGTTGAGGATAAACGTTACAAATTTTCTGTCACTTTTTGTTAAAATACTTGTATTCGATCGAATTTTTAATGCAATTCAATTGGTTACATATTTTTATCATTAAATACATTGACTAATGCTTAGTCACTACTTATATTATGTTAGCTTTTACTGCACATTTGCAAATTATGCGATGGATAATTTAACAAATTTCAAACGTGGCTTGCCCGAGTCCGCTTTGAACAATTATTAAGTCGGCTTTAGCGTATATATATTTGCAGTTTTTTTAATTTCAACTTTATTACGTAATAGCTCCGAAATATTCTCTACGTGAAATATGACGAGCCACACACGAGGGGTAGAGTATATTTTCCTCCCATAATCGAAGCGCATAAGGTCGAAATCTCGGCGCATAAGCTCATACGTACAAACGAGAGGCAATACTAAGTAGACTTTTGCAAGCTCCAAGCTTGGGCCGTGCGCGCAATTTGGAAACTTTGTTCGAGCATATATACCGAGCTCTATATACACATATTCTACGGAGGAAAGCCGTGTGCGGCAGCGGAGCAAGGACAGAGAGAGGGAGATGCCATCTCGAAACTTATTTTCGGGAATAGGAAGATGAGCATCTGCAAGTCATTCGGTATACATTGCTGGGGGCATGGCGAGGGGCTAGTGGGTCTATATTTGCGAGTGTGTAAGCTCGTGTTATACACACACAAACATATAGACACACAGAGAGGCAGGGGGCTGTTCGCCTCCCCTATAACTTGCAGACTACAAAGACTACGTCCCGTTCTGGAAGGAGGTATTACGGTAGTGGTAGTAGTAGTATATATGCAAAAAGGAAAGTTTCGAATCTTTTTGGCCATCGGCCAATCTTTGTACGGCTATGCACATAGTATTCGGGCGCGCGTGGCCGGTAAATCGCGCGCTTGACCGACGATCGTTGTAAGCTTTGGCCAATTGATCGTTTATTCCGTGCCTCTTTCCAATCTTTCTCTCGATGTTTCGCGTACACATATAACACGAGATCGTTTAATAAATCGCTCGATAAGCGAGAGTAGCTCGAGGAGCTTCGCGCAGAAAAGTCGCGACTAAAAAATATTTCTCTGGAACTCGAACTGCTACTACTACTACTACACGACACGCGTGCCGCCTGCACTATTGTTCGAGCTTGCGATTTCTCCGTCTTTTCGAATTCCATTGCAATTTTTTTTCTCTCTCCATACTTTGAGAATGTACGTACAAAACTGTCGACGAAATATTCCTCTCTCAATCTCTGCCCGAATTATTATATTCTCGTATGAAATATTTTCTCTCGCTCTCTCGCGTGTGACGAATGCACGGGTATACATAAGCGACACCGAAATCGCAGTGAATTGTCAAAGACGTGCCCAATCATGCGTGTGATACTCAAACTGCAAGAAATTGACAATCTTTGGAATAAGGTAGAGGAAAAAAGCTCAACCTTCACCAGTCCCTTGAGTTATCGATATTTTGCCTGCAGCCTTTTCATTCCGTACGCTTTCCATCATTATTATCTGCGAAGAAAATAGATTGTTATATTGCGCTATGCGCGCGCTTATATGCAGAGCGACGATGCAGTCCTATGCCCGTCGAAATTTATGTAAATCCTATACGCAACCGAACTGAGTGAGCTGTGTACATGCTGATGTAAATATAGAGAAGCTTGGCCTGTATACTATATGTATTTAGTTCAACGCATTACCCAAAAACCTTACAAGAGACGCAACATTACAGCTTCGTGCGTCACACCAAACACACAAGCACACATACACACACAATATACGGCTCTAAGCATTTAAATTTCGTGCCTCTCACGACTCGTATTCTCGTTTTTGTCGAATATGAATACTGAACGCTTGGAATATTTTTCGGCTCGACGACTTTTCACCCGAATTTTCTCTATATTAAAAGCACGCGTTTATATTATAGTTGAATGAACACATCGTAAAATAGACTCGGAAAGGCAATTGTATCGGTTAAAGACAGATCGTTCTACAGCTTTTGTAGAAATTTATCAGTAAAATTATTAGAAAATCAGAAATTGAAAATTCGCCATGAGTTTTTTTATCAATGAATTTTACCTTTGAACTGCTCAAACACTGGTACAAAAGAGGTGAGTTTTAAGGATGAACTGGGATCACGAATTTTCAAGTTGCAACTTGCTATTTTCCTATTTTCTTGATCAAAATTGATGTGTTTAATGAATCGAGAACCAATGTTCGCATTGTAAAATTTGTCGAAATATTATTTTATATTTTCCTATTCTCTTTATAAAAATTAATACTCTTCTTAAATTGGTGACCCTTAGTCCAAAATTTTATGATAAAATTATCACATATCATCTGCTCCGAAATCCGTTCTAATGTCTACGTCCATATCACTTTGAAAACTACGGTTCTCGTCCGATCACCGAATATAAGCAAAGTTGAGCGCGGTTAGTACTTGGATGGGTGACCGCCTGGGAACCCCGCGTGACGTAGATACACTCCTTCTTTTGCCTTTTTACTGCAATTTATGTTTTATTTTTTTCAATTTACCGAGTTATTAGTCATAATTTTTCTATTTTCTTGTATGAAAATCAGTAGGGTGCTAGTTAATGAAAAATTAGCGTGGGAGTGAGCACGTTAATAATAGATGTATCACAAGAGCCTCCAGTTGCTTTGCCCATGGCTACTTTTTATTATAACTGCGTCGTAGCGTCAATCGTCAGTTATAATTACGAATGTGAGACTCGAATTGAAGAATTCGCATTGATTGCCAGCTTGTTATGTGCCCTGGAAATTGACAGTCATTGGGCTTTCGCGCGAGGTCTGACGGCATAATTTTATGGCGCGTTGCTTGCGCGAATTCGCCAGAGTCACTCTCGCACACACTCGATCTATATCGAGTTTGCATATAATTGACGCCCGAGCTACGGCGTAGCTGCTGTACACGGCTCGGATACGAAAATTGGTATACCACGCGGAATAGGGAAACGTAGTAGACTCGCTATATGCGCGTGTCGTGTAGCATACACGACGTATATTGGCTCGTATATGACGTACACGCATAAGCTTTTAACTCGAGGATTTTGACAATGATATCCATGCTCTTTGCGTTTGAATTGTTGCAGTGTCCCCGGAGACGGTGATCGTGCCCATAGTCTCGTGCATACTCGGCTTTCCCATACTGGCGCTGCTGCTCATATGCTGCTTGAGGAGACGGGCGAAGCTCGCCCGCGCCCGGGCGCGCCGAAGGAACTGCGACGTCGAGCACGGCGCCCTCAGTCTGGTACGATTCAGTCCGGTGCACCGACTCGGTAAGTTAATTCGTCTATTTACCAAGTTCGCTCTTACTCTCTGTTAGTCTCGAGTCTGGCTCGATTTGCATATAACGCTCGTGTGAATAATTACAGCTGGAATCGAGAAGCCGAGCAAGGCACTGGCGCTTCGAGCTGATCGCGGCTCGAGGGCCTTCGCGACGCTCGAGCTCGACACCGTGCTGGAGGAGCGCTCCGATCCCGAGATCAGCACCGCCATCGAGATCAGCAGCCCCGATTAACATTTAGCCCCGGCGATTTCCAAGTGAGCAAACAACGACGCCTCGGTGCGTTAATGCGGCCTGACGATCCTTAATTGCGTATTCGTGTCTCTCTTTCACGTTGCAGATCGCCACGACCCTCGAAATCCGGAGCCTCGGGCATCCCGCTGTCGGCCAGTCCGCTCTGGAGCACACTGACAAACGAGACGGCCGGCCTCGAGGACGACGACTTCTGCGCTGGCGGCGACGGCGACGACGACGACCTGAGCAACGGCGACGACCAGGACGACGACGACGACGACGAGGACAGCAAAGCCAGCGGCAAGAGCAAGAAGAAGATGCCCAGCGCCAACTTTATAGGGGCACTGGTGCTCGACCTGCCGATAATCTACTGACGCGAGTCGACGTCTGCGCTGCAGCTGCCTCCGGTGCCTGTGGCCGCAGACCTCGTGGCGTCGCCCCGCCACTCGCCGCGCGTCACTCCGCGCACCAGCCCGACGAGGCATCATCATCACTGAGATAGGCCCGTCGCAGCCACGACGAATTATTATTATGTTCACGAATCGTCCATTGTAAATATACACTGATATATCTAAACTAAAGAATGCGGCCTGCGAAACGAACAATTTAAACTATATTATATGCTCGTGAATAAATGACGGTAAGGTACAGGATTTGAATGCGATCGGCATCGCTTTTTTTCACTTTTTATGCGTGTATCACGTGCTATGAGTAACGAATTGCTATGTATACTTATTGTATGTAAATGTCGAAAGCGAACCGAACGTTTTTCGCTCGGTTCGGATCTCTTTCCAAATGAGATAATTACCTGTGCAATTACGTCGTCGCTCCGTTGAAAGACAAAAAAAAACCGACAATCGAATACATGTCAACGATCGTACAGTGAAATCGAGCTCCAATATGAAACAGATTGTTGTGCGATTGAATTGAGTCGCGCACCACTTGGCAAGTATGTTATCACTCGTATAACTTTAAGCCATGACCATTCGAGTGAATATACGAGGGGGTGACCAAATACTCGCTACTTTTTAATCGATCTTTAAAAAGTCCTATACGCGAAGTTACGCGCTGCACTCGTGGAGCGTGTATACGTGTAATTGATTCACGACGTGATTCAATTTCGGAACTGCATAAATTAAATCGCGCGCTCGCACGCATTCGAGAGTGTATGAAGATTTAATTGATGGATTGATCGATTCTTTTCGCGACGAAATGAAAACGCACAATATTTTGTATCGCAAGAGAGCCAATTATTAACTCGACATTGCGAGGACTTCGTCGCGTTATCATTCGATGCCTGGCATTTTCGAAACGTTACGTGACATGAAAAAATGCTGCAGAAATGTATCATATTAGCTGTAAGAATATACACCGGCCTATTTCGATCGAAAATAAAATGAGATCGCTCGTCGATCGTTGTGTTAATAAACGTTTAAATGAAAAACAGCTGCACCCCACCGCGCGTGTAGTAGCGTATATAGCTCTTCGAATTGTGTACAACACGAATGCTTTCCACAATTTTTAAATCGATACATCGCATCACGAAGCAAATTTATATTTTACTTATAATAACAATAATAATAATTGTACCGTGTAAATGTTGGCTTTGAACGTGTATAATATCCATATAAAATATTATATCGATTGCGTGCATCCCCCCGAGCACGCATCTTTTGTAAAGCCCACCGAACCTGAACTTTTTAATTTTTTTTTCCTGACACCGAAATTTTCACGTGATACCATACATGTATTTTCCGAGCTTCAAGTGCATCATTATGATATATGTATACCTCTACCTGCGTAGTTACGATGTGTATAGTATTTTTTTATAGCGTATACCAGCTATGTGCCACTGCTTGGAATAAACCAGAAAAAAAATACAATTTATAAATGTATAAATAATGCTACGTGTAAATAAATGTGTACAACTGCGTATTTTGTGTCCGAACAAATGATCAATTACTTTAATGTATATTTCAAAGTGTTGAATTTATTTTACATCCTACATTCAACTCAACTCGACGAGGGCCAAGTGTTATGCAGGTAAGCCATTTTTTTGCATGCCATTTCCTTTCTTCGAGCGAAAAACTTTTAAACTCAATAATAAAGAGGCGATCCAATCGTCATGCTTCAGCGAGAGTATATGGAAAATGCTGCAATTCATGATTTCTCCAAGGTGCACGCAGCAATCAGTGGCGAAGCAAAAAACTTCTGGAATTTATTATGAATACGAGTCGAATTATTCCTAGTTTACGTTTGATGCTTATTTCATTATCTGCACGATGAAATCTTTTAATTCTGGTAACTTTTCTCACAACCGATAAATTATTCGGTAACGAGATTGAAATTAAATTTTAATACTTTTTATGTGCCATCAAGTTATACACTGTGCAGTACTTATAATTTTTTACGACATAAATGCACGAGATGAAATATTAGAAAGAAAAAAAAACGTTTACGCTCTATGAAACGCTCGGATATATGCTATATTATAAAAATAAATTCATTATACCTATTATCCATGAGTCAATGAGCTGCAATATAAAAGTTGAAAATACGTTATCAAAAGATTACTGTCTGATCGACGGAGACTGCTGATTAGTGGCGCCACCAAAAGTCGATCGGCTAAACTAGCACAAAGTGGACACTAGACAATCGATATGAGCATATCGATATGTCATTACAAAATTATAACATCCATCCGAACTGAAATTAACGGAAACCCTAGATTCCTTAGTACTTTAAAAAAATTAATTTATTTAATTTGGATAGCAAAATATTGAGATTCAAGCTCTCTCTCATTCGCAAATCTGCCTGACTGCATAAAAGTTTATGCACTTGTTTTATGCATCACTCACGCTGTCACGGACTCAGTTTGTATGCTTGCGCCCCCTTGAAGCCACTTTTGGTACTCGCAGCTTACCTATCAACTTAGTCTTCCTTCTTTGCCGTTCGTGCTGCAAGCAGACTGCACTGTAGTCGATCTAATTTGATTGAAGGGTAACCTACAAATTATCACAATGGTAAGCCGGAAATTTTTAAACCGACATCCAACTTTTTTATTATGAAAAGCGATAATGATCTCGAGCCAATTATGGCTACAATGAAACTTTGAGAGATGAACTATCAGTCTATGTAAACATTTTCATAAGTATTGATTAATAAAATGTAAAATTAGATACTTAAAGATACAACTTTTGCCCCATTACCTCAAAGTATTGTAAAAATGTGCTCTCAGATAATCGAATACTTCAAATATATAATCAAATTAAAAAAAAGCATTTTATACTAAAGGCACTTTACATCTTTTATAATAGATTAATATTAGTTTACATTTGAAGTTGATTCATTTCTGAAATTATAAAATTAGAATTTAATTTATTTATTTTATATGTTATAGATCAATGTAAAGTGCTCTGAACTTCGTAAGAGAGACAAAACGGCTCTCTTAAAGCAACTTGATGAACTCAAAACAGAGCTTACCACCTTACGAGTGGCAAAAGTGACAGGAGGAGCACAGAATAAGCTTTCCAAAATGTAAGTAAACAAATAATTCTGATTGAAGTTGGAATATGGATGTAAACTAATAATTGTATTATTTTCAGTCGCCTTGTCCGCAAAGCAATTGCAAGGACAATGATTGTTATGCATCAGAAGCAGAAAGAGAATTTGCGTCTTTTGTACAAAAACAAAAAGTATATTCCTCTGGATTTGAGACCAAAGAAGACTCGTGCCATACGCAAAAAGCTCACACCACATCAAGCAAGTCATAAGACTATAAAAGAAGTAAGGAGAAGGTCTGCTTTTCCTCAAAGGAAATATGCTTTAAAAGTTTAACTTAGGTCTTTGAATATAATTGTAATTATTAGTATAATAAATATCGCACAAATTTAATGAAACTTGTTTCCCTTATCAAGATGTGATAAAAATTATTTCTTTTTATTGGAGCTCATAAGAGATTAATATTTAAAGAAAGAAAAGATTATTTTGCTTCGCATACAACCCAAAGTCAACTATGGAACTTGCTTATTATTATTTTCCATAATGACAATTATTATTTTAAGTGATTTTCAAAACTGTATCTCTCCGACCAGTTCAAATTTTATATTTTCCCGAGAGTAATCTAGTATAATGCCGTGAATTTTTTATTGGACAATCGGCACTCTCTCTCTCGGCTGGTTTCGATCGTTACCGACACGTAAGATCGGCTACACCGAGCGTATAGTTCAAGCGATCGTGTCAAATCGATCGCCAATCGAGGTGGAAATTATCCAAGTTGGCATGGCACGTCTGGGTATTTTTCCAATAATCTAGCGGTGCCCTCTCCCCCCGCGCGCAAAACATGCCTCTGCACAGTGCACACACATACGAGAGTGGCATCACGAGTTTTCTCTCCTCTCGACTCACGCGCGCGCGCTCGGGGCAAAAAAGAGCTGCACTTATACACTCGCAATAAGGCGATTTGCCGATGCGGCAAGGTACACACGCGAGCTCGTGGATAATATTGGTGTGTGTGTCTGTGTGTGCGAGTGTGCAAATTGTGTGAGCCATAAGCAACGGCGCGCATTCACAATCCTGCTGCGGGGCCTGTGCTACCACTACTGCCGCAACGTATATTATACATAGATGTAAACGTAAACGAGCTCTGCTGCAAGATGCGGTGCATAGCATATAAACAAGTGCACTCAGTAGTTTAGCTATATACATTGCGCGCCGGCTGCTAGATAGGTCTCTCTCTCTCTCGGGCTACACAACAGCAGCAGCAGGTTGCAACTCTCTCATCGTGCGCGCGCTATGTGTATCGCGCATTTAAGATCGCGCGGGGGCCCCCGCGGAATACAATACAATGCCTATAGCAGTGGTAGTGGTGCATGCATACAGGCAGCTATAAGGTGCAACACGCCGCAAATGAGTGCCGAACCTCCCACACATAAGCACCTTGCATACTACCATATACATATATGTATGTATATGGGGGCCCTCTCGCCTCGCGAGATCGCACGCTATATATGTGCACAAAACTTGTAATAATAAGTAACGCAGCTTTACTTACAACAGGTGATATTCGAAAGGAAATTCGCACGTATATAGAAGTGTACAGAACAACACACGTACATAGCTATATTCATACATGTCCGTGTGTACCAACATAGCGTAGAGCCGAGAGATATTTGCGCCGCGTCGAGGAGTCGTTGTCGAGTAAAGGGGCCTCCTCGGCTCTTTCTCCGCGACGCGACGACGAGGAGCCGATGTACATATAATAGAGAGCGCGCGAGAGAATACGTGCAGCAGCTTTTACTCCGTCGTGTGCATGCGAGGCACACGCGATATTTTGCGAGGGGGGAGCGCACTTTAATATACTCCGGCGCCGTACACACACACTTTTGCACGTAGGCATGCATACCTATGCGCGATAGTATAAGAGAGGAGGCAGATTGTCACTCGAGCCGGAGCGCATTGCTACGCGGTACGCGTCTACGAATGGGTGTTGTAAATATATATCCGGATATATACGCACAGATAATGTATACCTGGACGCGAGGCTGACGTTCGGTGTTTGTACGCGCACGCATACACGCGGGGCTCCGACTGACAGGCAGTGTGTGACAGCTATACAAAAGCTACACACTCGTGCGTGTTTACGTTTGTAACAGAGAGGCGCGCGCGCGAACTGTCGGTCGTGGTCGACGATGCGCGAAAAAAGTCAGACGCGCGTTGGATTTCGCGCACAGTGTGCCTGCAGTTCTAGCAAATAATCCGCGCGCTACACGTTATAGATATATTATTAAGTGTGCACATAGACTGCCGAGTGCAGCGCACACGCAGAGAGGAACACTGGTGACTTATACGACAACTTGCGGCCGCCGCAACTACTGCTGCATCAAAGTGCAACGCGGAAAACAACGTCCGCGTTAGAAGTCCAATGTTGTTCCTCCGACCTAGCGATCAGTGCGTGCAGTAAACGTGTCTCGGATCCGCAGTGATAACGAGCTTGCTAAATCTGTTAATCGAGAGAATTAGAGGCCAGCCTTCGCTACGTGTGAAAATTGTTCTTCGAGATAAGGCAGCTTTTAATATACGTAGGTATAAAAAAGCTGTTGTGGGCCACGCGCGACAAATATACGGCCAATTATCGTCATCGATTTTAATCGAAGCCGCTGCTGCTTCGAGAGACGATCGTCCAACAGATACTACGCGCACGTATATCACAGTCAATAAACTTAGGCGGCAGCTGCGATAAAAATAAAATAAAAAAAGAAAGAGAGAATTTCAGACATCAGCAGGTGCTGTGTGAATTGGCTTCAATCGGATTAGAAACTCGCGCGAGAGCGGCGGCTGTGTACTACACTACTTATACTGTATATATCATATAGGTACTCCCGAATAAGCTGCTGCTGCTGCTGCAGCACGAGAGGCTCTCTCTCGCGAGTTGTCAGTTTAGTCGGTGTGCTGCTGCGCGAGCGAGCGAGTGCGTGGGTGTGTTGTTTTGACTCCGCCGCCGCCGCGAGATACGTATACGTGCAGGCGCGACGTTCGTTCGTCCGTGTGTGTGTGTGTTGTATCCGTGTGCTTTTTCGGAGTTCGGCGACTGTGCTGCACTGCACACTGCACGGGTTCAAAAGCCTGCCTGCAGCGGGGCTGTGGCGCAATCGCCCGCACAGAAGAAACGGTCTGCTCCGAGCTTCGAACTCTACTTGAGAGAGAGCTGCAGCGGTCGCTGCACAGTGTGTGTATACTACTGCTGCTGCACCACGGCAGAGTTGACGTAAACAACAACATCAACATCCCAAAAGTGACGTTTGACGTATCGCAGTCGAATGTCTAGTTCATTACTGTTCGCGTATATGTGTAACCTGTGCGAAGCAAGTGCAATAGTGGAGGGTGTGCAGTGACAGATATATACACAGCAGCGGAGTAGCCCCCCTCGCTGCACACTGCACGCATAAAACCATTGTGTGTGTCGTGCGAGTGCGTATTTGACGTATGCGGCTGTGCGATGTTGACCAAGTCGCGCGTCAATTTGACAAAGTTCGCAAGACGTTTGACAGGCGATAACGAGTGAAAGAGGAGTCGCTCGCGCTATCGCGATTTATAAGTGCCTCTGCGCAGTCAGCGTGTGTGCTGTGTTCGCGAGCTGATAAGGCCGCCTCGAGCCACCTCTAATCGCCGCGCAGCACAATACACAATAAACGTGTTTAACAAAAGTCAGCGAGAATAGTTTTTCATAACTAAAAAATCGCTCGTGCTAAGCACAGCTCAGGAGTGTGTTTGTGTGTATGTGCGAGTATATATGAGAGATATATAGAAAGAGAGAAGGAGAGCAGCAGCGCGAATTAGAGAGGGGCATATAGCAGCAGTGGCAGGCGGCAGCAGACCGCTTTGCAGAGCAGGTACTATAGGCGTATATATATAGAGAGAAAGGAGAGAAAGGGAGAGGCTCTCTCCTCTCTCTCTCTCTCTCTCTCTCACTCGGGCGGTAGTGGCAGCGGCGAAGATGGCTTCCATCAGTCTAACTGCGGCGGTGGCGAGCAGCGTCGTTGCTGCAGCGGCACAGCTTAGCGACGCTCACGGCACTCACAATTTACCGACCAACTCCGCGACAAAAACAACAACAACAACAGCCTCGCTGTCGAATAATAATAGCAACAATAACAATAGTAACAATAACAATAACAACGGCAGTGCAAGTGCTGGTGCGTCGTCCTTCATCGATGCGTATAACGCAGTGCCTCAGTGGAAACGTGAGTTAATACAGCGTCGCAAGCAAAGGGCCGCCGCGTCCTCCGAGTCCAACTCTTCGTCTGCTGCGTCCTCGCCGAGATCCAACGACAAGAACAGTGCGCTTGGTGGCTCCTTGTTGTTGTCGCCTACTACTGGAGTTTCGCCTGCACTGAGCAACGGCGCTGCAGTGAACAGTGAACAACGTGATAGCGAGCACGATAATGCCGCTTACTCCTCAGTGAAATCAAACGTGTCTCCGAGAGCAGCAAAGAGTGCAAACATGAGGCCACCGGTTTTGCGGCACGTCACCGAGGACATGCTGGCCAAGCAGCAGAATCAGCAGCACCAAAAGCAAGACGAGTGTGAAAGTGACAGCTCTGAGGAGCTCCAGTATGGGCCTGGTATTGTGCACAAGCTCAGAAGCAAATATCTCAATATGACTTTGAGAGAGATGAACAAGAGCAGACCTACCATTCAGTGCTTCAGGAGAGCTGCTAGTTTAGAGGATCTCTTGGATTGTCCGGATGATTCACCAGATCAAAAGAACAGAAAGTACGCCAAGAAAAATGTTACTGGAGCTGCTGCTAAAGTTGACAGGTACAGAAATGCTGCCAGAGGTAATGATTCTATCAAGCGAGCTAGGAGTGTTGAGGCTCTTGTGAGGTATAACTCTTTGCCTGAAGAGTCAACGCAAAGTAAAATCATTCCAAGTGTGTTTAAGCAGGAGAATGAACATGTTATAGTCGTTGACAGGGCACAAGTGAAAATTGAAAATAGACTGACAGATATGATGAAGCCACCTATTAATAAGCCCAAAAGATTGAAGCCTGTACTATCTGAGACTGAGCGACCACCACCAGATCTAGTCAAAACTACTATGCGAATCTTTGAGAGTTCATCAGTGAGAAAACTTAAACCAAAAGGTGACGTTGCAGCTAAAGTGGCTACATTTAAAAACATCAATGAAACCTTCAAGGCACAAAACCAAAAGAAACTCATACCCAGCAAGCCACCGCTACAACCCAAGCCTTTTACCAATGGTAATTCTAAAATCACAGCTTCTCCCAGGAAAATTGTCATCAACAGGAAACCCATTGCTGAACTGATAGAAAAGCAAACGAATGGCAAGGATTCTTATCACAATGACAATGTCATCACAGAACCAATTGTAAATTCAGTCTCATCGGTAGTGAGTAAATTCCAGCAGATTGAAAAACTGTGCTCTCCGTCCTTATCTCCTGAACCAAACTTCAACAAAATCAAATTTTCTCCTGTACCTAGTCCAGAGCCTTTGATTGGGAGAGCCAAAGTGTCTTCTCTAGAATTAAAATCACCTACATTAACGCCTGTACCTTCACCAAGAGCCACACCGCCCAAAACGCCCACAACCCCTCAATCGCCAAAATCAGAATCACTGAGATCGCCCTTGATCAGTCCTGCAAGAGAAAGAGAAGCGCCATCGATTCCATCGGTAGTGGAAACCAACAAACCAGAGTCACCTAAACGCAGCCCAAGTGTAGAAGTTAAAGTGGAAAAGCCCACGGAAACCTTCGAGCAATACCGAGATCAGCTGCAGCAACAAGAACAACATCATCAAGTACAGCAAGCCCAAGTCGTACATGAGGAGGAGGTGCCCGAAGCGAGCGCCCCAACGACCCCCGAAGGAAGCTGCCCCATATACGATAACGTGGCGAGCGACGCGAGCAACGACCTGTCGAGGATCAGCGAGTCGTCCTCGTCGTCGGAGACGACGGTGCTCATCGACAGCTTCGACGAGAGCTCCGAGGCCGTCGACAGTCCCAGGGTCATATCGAAGTCGGCCCTCGACAACATCGGCAAGGCCGGCGTGACGATACAGTACAGCTTCAGCGAGACGTCGCCGTCGATCAAGAGCTACCTGCCCAGGTCGGCCTCGGGTCTCGACGACGACCAGGAGAACGAGGACAGCGACTCGATCGTCAGCGATCCCGAGGACGATTATTCGTGCGCAGCAGCCGTCGAGCCTCCACCGGTCGCCCCGAGAAATTGCAGCAGCGAGGACGCGGAGAACTCCGTCAACAACGTCAAGTCGACCATCGCCACGAGCTTCTCTCAGGGCAACGAGTCGAAAACCATAAAGAGTCAAAAGCAGCTGGAAAGCAGCAGTGCGTCAGCTGGCAGCAGCAGTAGCTCGATGCCGATCTCGACGTCCGTGGTATCGTCGGCGTTGCCGCCAGCTGCACCGGTACCGGCTCAAAAACAAATCGGCATCATCAGGCCTTTGGTGTCGACGAAAACTCAGCTGCCCCAACAAAATCTCAGCAATCGAGAGATCGAAAAAAATCTCATCAACCGAGTGAAGAGTATCGAGCAACAGCAACAGCAGCAGCAGCAGCAACAACAACAGCAACAACAACAGCAACAGCATCATCAGCAGCAGCAACCAACCAAAGTCGTAGTGAGTTTAAAAAGTGCCGAGGATATACAGCCAGTGAAAAAAAATAATACAAGTGCCGCCAGTGGATTATGGGACTCGAAAGCCTGGAATCAGCAGAACAACACGATGGTCTTCAACTTTAGTAATCGCGCGGACGTGCCGGATTACATCGAGAACGACGGCCTCATCATAACGAGGAAACGCGACAACAGAGGCAGGGTATGTGAGAGCTAGTGCATACACATATTTTATTATCATTGTTATTATTATCATAATATTCCTTCTTAACGCGCCGATAATCCCGATTTGACGAGCGCAACTTAGAGAAGGATAGCGAGGGACAGAGAGAGAGAAAAAAAGAGGAGTCGCGAACCGCGACACGGTTTACAATTTTGTTGACATTTCATTACCTGCTGCTACTCGTCGTCGCTGCCAGAGCCGCACCATGAAAGTGGCACGTTGCATCGTCGCCGTTCGTTACATATATATCTATAGTCGTCTTATACACGGAACTCTTATCCCTACCTTCTCTCTCTCTCTCTCTCTTTCTAAGCATGAACAGCACTGCAGCAGCAGCAGCGCAAATACACTTTTTCTCAATCGCTATGTAATACACACGAAGACGAAGTCGCTGTCGGTTTGTTTATGTATTTATTTAATTCATTATCGTTTCGACACGAGCCCCCGTAGTCTTACAAAATTAAAAAACTGCTCGAGCGAGGCTCTTCTTTGTTAACCCGAGTGAGCGATTAGAGTAGCTCGAGCGCCTATAAATACAATATTGAAAACGCAAATGTATAGGTATAATACGTGCTCAATTAAGCATGACAGCTGGGATAGAGAGCGAGGAAAGATATTAAAAAGCTAAAAAAAAATTAAGGAGGCGATATTTAATGCGGAGTAGTTTGTTATCTTTAGGAAATTCGAAGCCTGTACAAAATCCATTATTTTCCTACAACACTGAGGATCGTGGCAGGCAAAAATGTAATTAGCGAAACTTGCGCTGATGCAAAGTGCAATACACTCTTAACTACCATCTCTCTTTAATTTTTTTTGCTTCTTCTTTTTCATTCCTTTTTTTATTCATATAAATAACGTGTATAAGCCTTCGGAAGAGTAAGAAACTTCCAATCCTTGTAACGTCGTCCCATTTGAATTTTATTTCTCGTGTTGCGGCAGCCACAGCAGTTCTGGTTGAAAAACTCGTTCTCTTTCTTTCTCTCTCTTTCTCGCTCAGCTCGACTCGAAGCTCGGAGCTCACTCAGTCACTCGAGCTCTCGCTCGGTGAAGTTTATGAACGCGATCTTATTTTTCGCTCTTATACGGCATATCCGAAGTAATCGCACGCAGTTTCACTCAATAGAGACCATGTTTATACACGCCCGAAATTTATTCTCTCTCTCTCTGTCTCTCATTTTTTTCATTTGAATTTTTTCCGTTTTTTTTTCTTAATTTTATAACAGTAACACCTGGATTGTTACGTGTCGCGCGTATATCGGGAAAAAAGAAGAAGAGCAAGAAGTAAAAACCGCACACGAGTCTTGCCCCGATACGTAGCGAGAATTTTTTTCGCACGGAATTTCAAATTGAGTTTATTATGTCGAAAAGCCATCGTACTATACACAAACATACGTATATACGTAGACAAACAGTTAATATATAACACTTCAATTAGCAAAGGCGTACGGAGCAAAGAGAGAGAAAAAAAAGTCGGAGCTAATCACACGCAGAAACTCAACTCGAGTCGCAATATCCAAGTTTGAAGTCTCACGGCGTACCGGGAGGCAGAGGTATTTAACGATCGCGTATTTAGAACTAGGTCAGAAGTCAGGACCCACAGATTGTGTGTCTCTCCCTCTTTCATTCTCCTTTTTTTTCTCATCATCGTCGCAAACACAAAGCCATGGCACATGTGAAATCTCATTCGTTTCTTCGTATGTTCTAGTCCGTGTAATTACGCGCGATACACGTCTATAGGTATATGATAAAAAAAACAGCAGCAGTGGCAGCAGTAGCACGCCTTTCAAAACTCGGCATTATCCATTTTCTATATATGTATTAAAATGACTATAAATAGTAAAAAAGGCCCCACGTCGATCTGTCGAAACGTTCGCTACGAGTTACCGTAATAATATTGAAATCATTATTTATGCCTCTTATCGACTATATGCACCGTCGCCCGCGCGCGCGCCGCGCAGCACATTTGTCGCGCGCAAAATTGATTTGTTATTTTTCCGTTGCGGCCGCTGAGTACGCAGCGTGCGCACAAGCGGCCGATGACTAGTGCACATCGATGACTCAACAAAGATATAATTTATCGATTTTTCGGCCGTGTACGTATTACACACGTTACAATAACGACGACAGTACTACTACATACACGTGTAATACGCGCGCCCGACTGTATAGCGGAAACGAATTCTGGCTGCCGGTCTTTTTCCTCTCTCTCTATCCTTTGTTCTGTTTTGTTTTGTTTTGCTTGTGTTTTTTGTCGTAACCAGACGATTCAATTTGGTTGATGCGGGGCTCGACACACACACGGATACACACTGGTCTTACGTGGCTTATCTGCCGAGATTTTCGTTAATTAAGCACATCGGATAATTGGCCCCGATAAGCCGCGAGATATCTCGATAAATACGCGACAGAATAAATATTAGCACGCGAATGATCATTGTCAAAGAGAAGAGAGAGAGAAACAACAAAGCTCCCGCAGGTAAAAGCCAGCTACAGCTTAAAATAGCTGCCGCGCGTATTTAGCGTAGAAAAGAAAAGCACTCGAGCCGCAGCCTTTCTTTTCCTTCTTCTTCTTTACTTTTTTTTTCATATATATTCAATCGTATCTTGGGAAAAGACAGCTTCTTATAATGGCGCACGTATATAGCGTACAGCTATTATTCAAGCACGCGACTTCATTTTTTTCAAGTGTCGCTATATGGCGACGACGCGACGACGACTCGTATAATTTCTCCACTAATTACAACAATCGTATTTAGCGCAGCGCCGCGCGGAGTTATACTCGATTCGCGAGCGCGCACGTCTCTTTTGCTGCCATATTATATCGAAGTCTCTCTCGTAGAAGCCACGCGGGACTCTATTCATTATATTTTTCGAATGAAATGAACTAATATCATCGATGCTGCTGCTGCAAAAGAAACTTTTACTTTAGCCGCGTGCGGCGATCCCCGACGATTACAGCCTGTCGATCCGCTGTATAAGAGTCGTAATTTTTTGTTTTTTCGCTAAAAGAATCGCGGGGCGCTTACTTTTCTCTCTCTCTCTCTCTCTCTTTCTCTCGGCGTCTGCAGAGATCGTTGCAAAACTAAACTAACGCGATTCCCATGCCTGCTGCTGTCTGTATAGTAGCCGGCCAATCGGCCCGAGTTTTTAAACTATTATATACAGAGCGTAGAAAGTTTTGAGGAATTCATTTACGGCTCCGCGCGAGACTGGTACAGCCGCGCGAGAGAGAACGAAAAATGATAAGTCGCGCAGGCTTTAAAAATTTAACGGTCTTTAAATATCTAATGATATTTAAATAAGCCAAAAACTCGTTCCGCGCAATAAGTCTCCGCGCGGCCGAAGGAAGAAAGTGTAAAAACAACTACACACGGCAGATATTGCTGTACGGTAACAAAAAATAAAATGTAGCTATTTCCTCTTCGATTCGGATTGATAGTGGCTGCTCGGAGCGGAGTAAAAAAAAAATAAACGGAGACGAGACATTGTTGAATCGTATACGTATACGCATGCATTCATATGCATATATACGCCATGACTGCAACGGCGCGGCATTAACAACGGCAGCATTAGCAAAGAAAAAGGCGAGAAGATATGCGCGCTTCGTGCTCGCACATAAAGAATAAAATGGGCAGGAAACGGACGCGCGCCAGCAGCAGCAGCAGCAGCAGCAGCAAAGCAGCAAAGCAGCAGTGAACCAGCAGTACGTATACTGCTGCTGCTGTTGCTGCAGACGCGTGTACATATGTCGCTGTTATATAGATATATGCGTGTAAAAGGAGAGAAAAGCCGTAGTGCGCTATACTGCATATCGCTGGGCACTGCAGTATGCCGATCATCATCATCATAATGTTAGGCGCGCGCGTCATGCGTGTTTACAAGGCAAAGTGCATTGCCGAGAAAATTCGACTGTATAGTAGTAGTAATAGTATAGTATAGTTGTTGCTACAAGTTCATTGGCATGAATTTACAGCTCGTGCGTTTCATTCATTATACATATAAATCGCAGAGGAAAAAACCCTCTTTGATTGTGCGCTCGCGCGGAGGGCCTGCTGCACTGGCCGTTTGGTGTATAATTTGCGATCGAGCTCTCGAGTTCACCGTTAAAAAGTTTTACGATCTTTTGCGCAGCGGCTCGGAGCTTTTCTTGCCCTTTGAAATTATTTTATTTCATTAATACAGCGGGTAGGCACACACGTACGCGTATATATATGGCAAGTTAAAACGTGAATTACATAAGTCGGGGGGAGGCTCTCTCTTATACCTTCTTCGGAGCGAGCGCGACATTAACCGGATTAAAACGGAATGTGACGGAGAGTTTTAGCGCCGGAGCGTTAAGTTAGATTTGATGCATATTTTATACACATCTATATAATATATGTAGAGAGAGAGTAAGAGCCCAAGACATTAGCTGACTCGAGAGAAGCGGATCGATCGTCGTGCAGTATATAATATTCTGCGCGGCAGCTTGCAACGTGACAAACAAAGCAAAATCGCGACAGTCCAGCGGACGTTTCGTTTTTTTTTCTCTCTTTTTTACTTTAGAAAATCGATAAGCGCGAGCAAATATGTTTTTCAAAGGCTTAAAACGATAAACTACCTGTCTGCGTGCATATGCCGCCGCGTGGTAGTGTGTCGCGAGAGCTCGATCTATAAATGAAAGACAAGCATCGTAAAAAAAAAACGAGGTACTCGAACAAAACAAAACGAAAAATAAAATAAAATAAAAAACAAATACACGTGCAGAATCTAATCTGCTCGTGTGTCGAGTATATACAGCGAGGTGTCGTGCGATAATAAAAAAATAAAAATTAATAAATAAATAGATTTTGCGTTTACGTGTGTGTACGCTCACTACTGTTATACGCGCGTTTTTTACGACACTGCGACAGCAGCAGTAGCAGCGATAAGGAGGCTTAAAAAAATCACGTAACCTTCTTAAGGTCGTATAGTAGCAGCAGTATATAGCGAGGGAGAGAGAGAGAGAAAGAGATGAAAAAAGACAGTAATATTAGCAGCAACGCGTCGACGTGTCGCACAGCTTTTATAAACGTCTATATCGGGTTATGCGCAAAACATCCTTATATACAAGCGCGAACTTGTTACACACAGGTATCATAGGAATATGTATGCAAGCCAGAGGAAGAGAGAGAGATAATAACAGCCACGCACCACGCGCGTCTAGAGATTATTGAGCAATTACGCAGCTCTCCTAGGATAATGCGCACTATATAATGTGTAACGTTATGATACGAATAAATATTATGCTCGCGCTCGCGTGCTTACAAGCTCTCCTACACACGCGAGGTGTATATAGCAGCCGGTAAAGTATACGAAATACACGAGGGTGTCGAAAGCGGCTACGAGATATTATATTGTACGTAAAGAGGCGTGTGTAGGCGCACAACCTTTAAGGCCAATTTGATCGATGAGCGCGAGCAGGCCCACGCATGCAGCCAGCGCGACAATGTGCGTATGTAATACAAAGTCGCGGAGAGCTCTTATCGCGCGTTTTCCACCTTACAATACCGCAGCAGCGCGTTACAAACGTGTTTATACCGATAATATATTACGTAGCTCGACGTAACACTCACTCCATCTCATTAACTATTATATTATACTCGTTGACTTATATCTCTTTTTTCCTCGTTTTTCAGCAACACACGAGCAGCAGCGGGGGTGGAGGAGGAGGCGTCGTCGATCACCATCAGCATCAGCAGCAGCAGCAACACGGCTCCGACAGCAACGGGGCAGGCAACCACTACGAGCAGCAGTACTACGACGAGTCGTCGGACAACGAGTACTCGATCGGGCCCCCCTCGCCCTGCGACGTGTCCTTCTGCAACGACAACGTCCTCATCAACGGCCGCAGTAATCTATCGAGGACCCCGAGGAATCACAATGTGAGTCATAATGAGAGCTGAGCGCCTCACCTGTATGCATCGCGTATATGAATTATTACAGCTCTAATGGATGTATTATACCGATCGTAATTACGTGAATTCGCTGTGTATTACGTATGGAGTTCTTTTCTTTTCGTTTTCAGCTTCTGAATCGCGTATTATATCCGTTACCGATCTTCCGTTACAGTAAAGCGAAACTGCTCGGTGTTTTTATGCGTGTATAATAACTGGCGCTCGCGTCGCTAATTTTCCATGATACATATATTTTTCTATAAATCGGTCTACCGGTATATTACGATAACAGGTCACCACATCTCGTAGAATATCTTTTTATCCCCTGCTACATCCCGGCCGCCCGTGTAGCGTACCTTACTTACATAGAGCCGCTCAATCGATACGATATACCGATACTTAATCGATGTACGTGCATCGGTCGTCAAACGAATATATAGAGTACGAGAAATCCTCTTCATCCTAGTTGTTCGCGTCGAGCCGTTTTACGTCCGAGTTTCGCCGCTACGTCGTGTGTGCCACGGCGTTGGTGTGCACCTGTGCACCTTCTATAACCCGAGAGATGCGCCGTGTGTGCAGCCTCGATCTTGCGCGATTGCTTAGTAAGCGAGTCTTTTACCGATCCATGTATACGCTGCAGCAGCACATATGATCGTGATCGTGACGCCGCGTCTGCGCTAGGATATATTATATACCCACAACTTATACATACGTGTGTGCGCGACGAGACGCCGGCGCAAAGGAGCACATTTTATATATATGAGAATTTTTCTGCTGTATTGTATGTATACGTGTGTAGCGCACGTTTATATGCGATGCACAAGTCAAGCGAAGCGCGCGTTAATTCAAATGACCTCTATATACACAGGCTGCGCACATGTGCCGACTATATAGTACATGTGCACGCGTCAATGTATATGCCAATGTCTGTATATACGTACGTATGTACCATGCTCCAACGCTAATTTAGTCTCTGCAACATGCACGACTCGATCCTCGCTATTTCTCTCTCTATCTCTCTTTCTGTCCGTGTTCTCGTGCGAGTATATAACAGTATGAGATCGAGCATCGAGTCAGTTCTCAGGAATTGTGTGCGCGCAGCAGCTCTGGCAAAGCTATTTCTTGATCTATTTTTCTTCCTTCTCTCTCGATCGCGGCCCTATCTTGGCGTTGTTGTTGCTTGTCGTCGTCGTGCGTCGCCGTCATCATCATCTCCAGCGACTGCATCCGAGACTCTGTTATGCTCTCTTTCTTCCATATATCTATTAGCTTTGCCCCAATAATGCGCCACTCTCGCAGCTTTCTATTATCAGATGATTTTGCATGTATATACCTGAAAAAAAAAGAAGTACATGCCGCTATGCTGCAGCAGAGTAGGTGTAAGAGCTGAGAGACAACGTCGACTACGACGACGCGACTAATCGGCCAAAAGATTCGTGTCACGGAAATGCAACGTGCCGAGCACGCGGTTTTAATATTGCGCTGCCGCCGCTGCAGCATCACTCGCTCGCTAGCTAGCTAGTTGATTGCATGATTAATGGGAAGGAAAGAAATGAGGAAAAGAGCGACTAAAATACAATTGCGATTCTGTATTATATACACGCCGCGCGCGGCGCTTAATAGAGCCTGAAGCGCGATAGAACTAATAAAAAAAAAAGGCAGCCAAAAGCATGAAATCGAGGCAAAACTGACGCTTTCACGCTGTGTGGAGTAAGGTCAATTGGCGAGCGCTGCAGGTATATAATAATATTATTATACATTAAATGCGAACGCGACAAACGTTCCCTTTCTCTTTATCGCTTACATATACATTTTGTCGGATCGCGGCAATCGCTTTACGACTGCACTTTGTCATCTAGATAGCCGTTAATCAAATTTGATATAGCATTTAACGCGACTCGGCCGCAGCGGAATATCGCCTACTACGACTACACGAGGTCGCACACGTTTTTGCGCTTCGCAGCCGAGATATCGCGAGAATCAATCGTCTTTATATACGTATCGAGACTCGAGGTGCGAGATTTGAGCGCGCGGCCGCTGAGCCGAGCTAACAACCGACCGGTGCGCTAACATCTCTCGTCTCGTCTCGACTCGCGTCTTCGGAAGCGTATATAATTGCGCGGCGCGCGATATTCCTCGAAACTCGTTACGGTATATTTTAAAAGTTGCGCGCGGCCAAACGCACACAACGTATAGTTGTAGTACACCGCGCCGGTATGACCATGTACACACACACAATAATACATATAGTCGTTCGGGCGCGAGAAGAAGAAAAACGTCGTGTAGGCCGCGAAGCCAAGAGTTGACGCGTCATTCTCACGAGCTGCTGCAGATGCAGTACACACACACAACACAGTACATACTTATAACGTATATATAGAAGAATAAGAAGTTCGAGCGATTAACGGCGAATGTGCACACACGTATAGCACTATACGTGTGCACTGCGCTGCACCAGTCTATGCACTTGCTACTTGAAATAATGACCGGTACTGTTATATTATTTTTAAAGCGCACTCGGCCGCGTGTATACCTACAATACTACCACTACACGGATAGATTCGCTATTACTGTATAGCGTAAGACATTTTTTTTTCTCTCTCTCTCTCTCACTTCCTTCCTTGTGTGTTGTTGTTTATATGTGAGACGATCGCAGGGGGGTGCAGCTGCGATTCGCTATGCGCGCGGCTCCAATTTTCATTCGTCATTATCTTATACAATGTCGTTACATTGCGGATAAAGGTGACGAATTCGGAAGCGATTCGATGGCGACCTCGCGTTTCCGGGTAGTAGTGCAGCGATGGAAGAAGGACTTTTTGGCCTCGGTACAGCGAAAGTTCGTAATATGCTGCGCTTCTGTGTGCTCCACCTTGTGATCGCCAATGACGATCGTACGTCAAACAAACACACTTACTTACGATCAAAATAAATCGGAGTCGTATATGAAAAGTCGACGTGCATCGGACGCACGACCCATACATTTATCAAATGCACTAGTCGCATTAGTCGCAGATCGACGTGCGGAATTCCGACCATTAATCGCACGCATTCGCGGACTTTAAGTTCAAGTTCGAGATTTAAAGAGCCTCTTGGTACGCCTGGAGAGCTTTCCGAATCGCGCGCTGATCTTTGGCGCGGTATGGGCACTTTCACTGTGTGTAATACGCCATCGACGTGCGAATGCCTGAAATATTTTCGATATACACGTACGTACGTACGTACGCAAGTGAAAAATCTCTCCTCCCCGGCAGCAGCGCGCGAGCTTATAACGGCTCGGATACGGGATTCCGTGCCGATGACGTTAGTTATTTTTACCATAATTTTCCGATCTCATATTGCAACAGCACTTTTGCGGTTTATAGAGAGAAAGAGCACTCGTATTACGCTCTCGCCGGTGCGCCTCCGATACACATTTATATGTGTGCGTGTGTGTGTGTATTATATACGATACCGTTTCGCCTGATAGTGGATAATCATTTTATTAATTATGCTCTCGATACACGAGCAGATATACACTTTTCCAAAGTATTATAAGTATCCCGCAAATAATGTTATTTCACGTTCGTACTCATAACGATACGAATTCTTTGATTTCGCAGTGCCGAATTCAGTTCGACGACAAGGCCACGAAGATGTTCGAGTACCCGAGCGAGTCGTCGATGCTGCTGGCGGAGGCGATCGCCGAGGCCCAGGCCCAGGCCCATGCACAAGCTCAGGCCGCTCAGGCCAGTATGGACGTCGGCGATTCTGCTTCCGCTTCCGGCGAGTCGTCGTCGTCGTCGGCAGCAGCGGCAGCAGTGCCTATGAGAGGAGCAGCCAGCGGTACTCTGCCCTCGCTACTCGGTGAGTGAACATCCATCCATATAGACCTATATGGACGATATATATATGTGGTGTGCATACACACACACATGACACGGACACATGCACTCTTACACCAACAACACACGCAAAAAGTGTAAATGCCTGTACTGCTGCTGCAGCGCGTCTGTTTTTCTGCTGCTGCTTTCTTTCTTCCGTCTTTTCATCGCTGCAGCTGGTTTTAATGCATTTTTTACATTTATTTTCGATGATGTATGTATCGTGGTATATATATAAATACACACACACACACGCATTATACATACAGCACACATGCATCGACACAAGGCATGAAAGCGGATGTGGCCATTATTCGAGAGGCTCTCTCGCTGCTACTCGCGTGGCGTTGATGAAACACGTTCTTCGCTCCTCTCTCATATTCTTGTATAACAAAAGGAAATTATCATAGGGAAAATATGATATATTTCACGTACGTATACACACGCTTACTTACACATCTAATATATAATACACATTTTACTGACTCTTTTGCAAGATACACTGCTGCAGGTTATTTATGCATATTATTATAAGGATCGCTAGAATATGCACGAGCTTTTGGCGAAAGTCGAGCGGACACATGCGCGCCGGCGGTTCATTACACGTATATAGCTATGATATGACAAAGCAACAACTACAACTACGAGAGGCAACAACAACCAACGACGTTTATGCAATGACTTTTTACAATATATAATGCGATTCCCTCTCTCACTCACTCGCATGATATATTTATAACTTATACATTATCGCATACACAATGCAGCGCATGTACACATACACACACGTCACATTGCACACATATGAAATCATACACACACGGAGCGCCGTTGAAGCAAGCCAAGAGTGAAGCGGCGGCGACGGCGAACGGGTGAATAATATCACATTCTCATTTCTGCATTCTCAACTTTTAAAGGTGATTCCAGCGCTCAGGGCCGAAATATGTGGGCGGCTCAAGAGGCGCCAAACATTTTTTTCAGTTTTTGAGGTCTAAGTTGCTTGTCGAGCGTCACCAGAGTACGTATCACACGTAGTGTAAAGTTTTTTTTTTATATTTTTTTTTGTTCTTTCGTTTCATTTCATTTCATTTCGGTTGGGTAGTTGTTCAGCGCCATTAATATACGACACGTTTGTTTGTTCGTTGATTCTTTTTTTTTTTATGATTTTCATTACGTATTCCTTAGACTGTAGAGTTGCAAAGACGCGAGAGTGGAAAAAAACGACGTGCATGATGAAAAGAGAGTCGAGTGAGTAATTATGTATACACACACAGAGAAAAAAAAGAGGCAAACTGCGAAAAAGAGTTTTATAACGGAAATAATGATTTTAACGGCTCGTTATAGCTCCTCGAGTATGGCAGTTGAAGTCGCGTAAAAAAACCTTTATAATTTCCAAAAGCATGTTCCGTTAGCGCCGTCGAGTGCAAAGTATATAACACATACGAGCACATGCGCGCATCCCACGACAGTTGAAAAGAATAAATATACATATTTTTCAAATGAAAAAGAAAATTTATATATACAAAAACCGCATGGAGGTGGTCTCATGGAGTGGTACTATAATACTAAGACAACCTTTTTCTTTTGCAGGAGTAGGCGGCAATCTGGCGACGTACACACCGAGCAAAGTCGACCTGGCGCACGACGGCTTCGAGCTCGGCGTGACGGCACGCGCCACGATAAGCAGCCTACCCTCGCCGCAATCGCCGACATTGCCCAGCAGCTTGAAAAAGGACCAACAGACGACCATCTCCAACGGCGGCGGACTCGGTAACGAGCAGCAGCACAACAATCAGCTCGATGATAAAAACGGCGGCCCAGTGGATTACAGGAAAAATTTGCAAGACCCCCAGGCCGCTAACAATGCCTGGGGCCAAGAGACACCGGCCGATATGCTGTACTGAATTCGCGCTCGGCCGAGCGTTTAGAGTTAGCACCGCTGCTGCTGCTGTTGCTGCCACTCTGCCGCACGAGAGAGGCCCACTTTTCTCTTCAATTTTTTTCTTAATTCTCTTTTAAGCTGTGTGTCGTAAGTGTGCGAGTGTGAATGTGTGTCCGTGCGTATGTATATCCGATAGTGTTGTACACCGTATTTGTACCTTAGGTAATAATGTGTACGTTCGTTTGTGTATGTGTGTTTCGCTCGTCGATACACACGCCCCACGTATGTGACTCGAATTGAACGAAAAACGGAGTCTACTTTCTGCATTCCATTATAAGACCTTCGTATTTACATATAATATAATTATCATTAGTAACTGCCAAAATACGTTAACTTTACGACGAAGTACGTTTAATTATCGTGCGTATGTGCATTCGTTCGAGTTCGCGCGAAGAATGGAAAAAGAGGCCGAGAGTATATCGTCGACAATTTTTCTTCGCGCGATAACACGACGCGTGCATTCGAGCGACTGCATTTAGAGCGTCGCGAAAAAACCTCCTCGAGGTTTTTTGATATCGATCCCCCCCAGCTGCTGAATTAAATTTCTTCGATGAATTTCCATCGAACGATATACTCGTTGATATTTGTATGATAAACATTAATAGTAGACGAAAACTGTAAACATAATGCGACGATACATTTAGAAACAAAACTTTTTTGAGATTATTATATAATCTTTGTTATAAGTATAGTTGATACGTACATTACTGCAAAAGTATATAACTTAAGGAAGCAAAAAGAAAAGAATAAATAAATAAATAGACGAACGCATGATTATTGACGTGCATTACGAGCTGTAATCAAGCTGGTTGTGCAAGTGTGACCAGCGAATATCAAAGATTGAATTTGCCTCGACGGATAATCAAACAAGGCAGGGTGAAACGCGATAAGTGCGAGCATTATTCAAATTTAATCGATATGAGACTTATTTATAAAAGTATTCCAACTATAGAATATTCATGTACAATATAATCAAGTCCTTTTCCAAAATCCGGCCTTTTTTGGCGTTTTATATAGGATTAAAAAAAAAATAATGAAAAAATCTCATGAAATTGTAGATTTGTATATTTGATAAATTTTCAATGCTACTGCGCATAATGAATTTCTTTTTTCTGATCTGGAAAGTAACAGAAAAATTGATTTTGGCTTATAGCTTTTTTACATTTGTATTGTGCTAAAAGTTCAATGTGTGTATGAAAAGAAAGTTGTTTAAATTATAGAATATTACTTCAAGTTATGTTTATTTGTAGCCATCCGATGACAATGTATAGATGTAATTTTTCACACTGTTCATTTTGTGTTGTAATTGTAAACATTGTTTACAAGTTATATCGTTAATTAAAACGATTTTTAGAATGCGATGGAGATTGCATATTAGTTTATTGCATATTCGGTGAGCTTTGTCAAGCCAAATTGGACTAATTTTGTTAATTCCAAGCATTATGTACATACTACGTATTCACAGGAATGAATATACTTAATTCCTTGGAAATATTTCTTTTTTTATTTCAATGAGCTACTTTTATGTTGAGTATTGTATGAACACGAGTAATTGAGGCACAAGTTTATTAGTAATACGTTTTACGATAAATGTCTGTTGACGAGTGCTTTCTTGCCTTTCAATTTTTGATTTTTGATCGACGAATATAAAAGACTTTGCCATCGAAAATTGTGTGAACAACGCAAAAAACAAGCCATTCAATAAGACGACCGATTCAAGTTATTTTAACTTATTACGAGATCATGGACTGATCATAAATGTAAGTGACGTACTGAAACATATTAACTTGTGAAAGACTTCTTTGATTACGTTTGGTCTGTTTGGTCATGAATTGGTTTCCGCAATTGTCGTTGTATGGTTTTGTCATCAAATCGAAAAATACCTCATTTTTGATGTCACATAGTTAAGTAATTGTGATGTCTCATTGCATTTTTGTAATTAATATTTAGCAATTATAGTATGTGTCATAGCATCAGTGTCTAATATTGTAATAGAAAATGTTATTTTTTTGTTTTGGTTAAAGAATCAGAAATTAGTTAGAGCCTTTTTTTGAAAAACATTCATAAAGAAATTTATTTTTTTATCAATTTTTTGAGATTTTTTTGCATCATTCCAAATTTTACTTAAAATCTAAATCAATCATATAATTGTGAAAAAATTTTTTACACTTATGAACTAAAATGACCACATTCATCTATATAAATTAAAATTATGTGTCATAAGCATTTTGTTACTTGTTAATTTGTTTATAACATCAAGGTTTCAGTTTTTTGCTTACTTTTTGCAAAAAAAGTTCATAAAAACTAATTGTACATTGTAATATACATGTTCATTTATCATTGATTTCATCAATCATTGTTGTTTCAGCGAAATTAGTATCAGCGATTTATAGAAATTATTTTTATCCTAATTATTGTATTTTATAATTAAATCATTGGATTATTTATTTATTTATAATGAATTAGTATTACTCTGCTATGTAATATTATAGTTCTTCGTGAGTTGTAATCATGCCAATAGCTCATTACAATAAATAATAAGTATAACATAAATTTTTTGATTATTTACACTCCTGACGTACATAAGTAATACTGCCACACTATTATATTCAAAATTCTAGAAACAGCACATATATATAGCAATACAATAATTTTTTTAATTTAGAGAGATTGTGAAACCCGCTCAAAAATAAAATTGTTGACCTTGTAACTTCTGCTTAATACATCTTTAAAAGGCTCTATTACAAATTTCATTTTTATGTTCTGTAAGGTACCATTAGAGCTTTTATAGAAACATTTAGTAAAAGTTTCAGAAAATGGAATCAAATATTTGATTTCTGGGCTGACTTCGCCACTCCTCTAATTACAACAATATTGCAAGTTGACAAAATGTTATCACGGTTCCGTCTTTAAATTATTATTGATATCCAATTGAAAAGCAAACATCTATCTTAAAAAAAACTATATACAAGAAAAATTACAGAGTTCGACCTGATTATTTATGCACAGATGTGAAGTATTCCTCTTCAAGATCATATAACTCAGTCGCCATATCATCTCTTAGATTGGCCAGTTTTTGATCGCACTCGTTTTGCTTGGCACGGAACAATTTACTATTTTGTGATATCGCTTCATTGACTGATAAAAAGTCATTTAAAATTAAGTACTGCTTAATGTCAGAGACCAATTTCAATAAGGATTCTCCAGCTCTGACCATATTGGCTGCTCTCACTTGCATCTCATATGCCTCTTGTTCACACTGCACCAGTTTTGAAAGATTTGTCTCGGTGTCAATTTTGGCCAATTTTAATATTTCTGGCGGAAAATGTTTACATTTTTAGTGTCAAGTGCAATTTGTTTGTTATGCCGATGATGAGGTTAGATAAGCTTACCTTCGAAATTTTCTAGCATCGACTTTATATCTTCTTTCAGTCTTGTGCTGTAGGATTTTAGCAGAGCTTCTTTACTCTGTGTCGGGGTTCTCGTGGAAGACATTGTTTCTGTTCGTTACTCAAATCAAGAATGTTCAAATGACTGGTGTCCCGTTGACAGTTTTATACTTTTCGCTCCACTGATGCGCACAGCAGCTAGATCAAGCAGCACCCGGCGTGGCGCCTGCAAATAGCCTGTCTGCTAAGAACCAATTCGGCCTATGCACTGTGAGTTCGCAGTATCTTCCTGTCAAAACCGTAGCAATCGAAGACAAGTTCTTAGCACTTTCAGAAATAATTTTAATCTCATTGATTGATCGCAAAAATTTTAGATAAGGTCATAAACAAGTCGATTTTAAAGTTGCTGCTACGAACTTCAAATTTGTAAGTAAAATAATAAGCGAACGCATGCGCTTACTGTGTAACCTATAAAGATTGACAATTATAGTGTAATAAAAAAAATAATACAAACTCGGAGCTTGATATTTCGGCAGGTAACTTGATACAACGTAGCACATACGTAAATTCATTGAACAGGCTAATTTTTAAAACAAAATACTTGTAAGTCACTTTGTTGTTTTACAGCAAAGTTTTTTGTTAAATATTTGATTGTGTTTGAAATAGATCAACTACGTCGTATTCAGAAGTAAGCAGTAATCATGAACAATCTGTTAACAAAATCGCTTCTCACTTGTCGAGCAATAAAATGTCGCCCAGTGGTCTGTCAGTGCCTCAGGTATTTTGTTAATTCAAGAAAATTTTATGGCAATGATACATTTGAATGTTAATAATGGAATTGTAATTTTTTTCTACTTTTAGAATTCAAAAGCAAAATGTCAAAAATATGCATACTTTGACAAAGTCCAAACCAATGTGCTCTCATTTTGCACAAAATAATCTAAACATCCTACAGATTCACAAAAGAACAATGTTTATTCAAACTCAAGACACTCCAAATCCCAACAGTTTGAAGTTTATTCCTGGAGTGGAGGTTCTAGGCGCTGGTCAAACCAGAGATTTTCCCAAGATCACTGACGCTTCGTGTTCACCACTAGCTAAAATGCTATTTCGCATTCAAGGTGTTAAGTCTGTATTTTTAGGACCAGATTTTATAACAGTTACTAAGGAGGATGAGGACATGGAATGGCAAATTGTCAAACCAGAAATTTTTGCAAGTATAATGGATTTCTTTGCCAGCGGTTTACCCATTGTGACAGAAGAACAAACTTCTGCAGATACTGGTAGCTATATCTTTTCTTATGAAAAACACTTCATTTTTTAACTGCTATTTTTAATGCAGCTAGTGAAGATGATGACGAAATCGTACAGATGATTAAAGAATTATTGGACACTAGAATAAGACCTACAGTTCAAGAAGATGGAGGAGACATCGTTTTTGTGGTATGATTGAACTTTAACTTTTCTTTTACAATATTTTCCTACTCTAATGCACTTAATCTTCCATCATTCATCCTTTTTATAGAGCTTTGAAAATGGAATTGTAAAGCTCAGAATGCAAGGCTCTTGCACAAACTGTCCTAGCTCAGTCGTGACATTGAAAAATGGAGTTCAAAACATGATGCAATTTTATATACCAGAAGTACTGGGAGTAGAACAAGTTGAAGATGAAACAGACAAAGTGGCCAAAACTGAATTTGAGAAACTCGAAAAAAAAATAAATGAATCTACTAGTCCACAGCAGTAATGTTAAACCCTATTTTTATTGTATATAAATTGTGTAATATAAAACTAGGTTTTATCTTATAAGTAACATACAACTATGTTTGTTTTTAACTAAGTTAAAATTAAATAATATACAATAAAACTTATAAACTTATGTTTTTTTTTATTTCCATAAATTTACAAAAAGTTTTTAACGGCTAGAAACAGAGACTTGCCATACTCTGATCTTATTGTCAGAATAACCAGCAAACAATGTTTGTCCATCAGTGGACCATGCAAGCGACAGACACTGTGGTGGTTCAGCTTTGCTGCCAGTAGTAAGAACGTCGGGTTTGAGTTCCTCAACCATTTCCTTGCCTTCAAGGTCCCAGATCTTGATCCATGGACCATACGCAGCGCACAGCCAGTACCTGTTGGGGCTGAAGCACAATGCAGTGATGATGTCATTGTGGTCCAAGGTGTGCAAGTGCTTTCCGTCGTTCAAGTCCCAAAGCATAGCTTTGTTGTCCTTGCCACCAGATGCGCACAAGGAACCATCTGGAGAAACAGTTACAGTGTTGAGGTATCCAGAGTGTCCCTGGTGGTTGATCTTCAAACGGCAGTTGCTAAGGTTCCATACCTGGAAAGATTGAGATGGGCATTTTATTCGTTTCCTCAAAAAAAACATGTATCTGAGCAATAATTAGTTATAGTTTTTCAGTCCCATATCCGCGAAACACTCACAGCTATCATGAGTTTCAAGGGGTTTTCATCACGTAAAATAAGTATTGACAAATATAAACTTCAACAATAAACAATTGAATTACCTTGACAACTTTGTCCCAACCAGCAGATACAATGATTGGGTTTGAGTGGTTTGGCGAGAACCTGACACAACTGACCCAGTCGGAGTGGCCCTCATCAGTGATGGTGTATTTGCACTCGGCAAGAGTGTTCCACAGTTTGATGGTTTTGTCCCGAGAACCAGAGACAATTTGACGGTTGTCAGCGGAGAATGCAACACTCAAGACATCCTATAGCAAGAAAATTTAAGCAATGACAAAAACGAACAATATAAAAGAAATAGAACCGAGTAACTTTTAAGGCTGAAAAAAAAACTTTGAAGCAATCGTATAATTTTACCAACATTGCAAATTATCATGCGTGCAATTAAGGTGGCAGATTGTAAGATACAAGACTTACTGATACAGTCATATACTTACTTCCTTGGTGATTTGCTCACCTCTTCAGTAAGATTTAAAAAAAAATATAAAAAAAAAAAGCTTCAGTTTATTTAAAATTCTCTGGATATTCCAGTAGGGAGAAACTCCAAGACGAAAGTAGAGCTCATACTCTAGCTCAATGTCGAACCTGTGTGTGATCTTCGAATCTGCGGGTAGTTTTTCCAGCAGCCAAATCCCACAAACGGAGGGTCTTGTCCCACGACCCAGAAAGGGCGTAATTACCGTCGGAGGAGAGAACGACGTCGCTGATGAAGTGAGAGTGTCCGTACAGACGCTTTGAAGGGGTACCGTAGTTACCTTCGTCGCGGGTCAAGTTCCACACAATCAAGGTCTTGTCTGAAAACAGTCAAAAAACGCCCATTGAAATATTGCAGGTTTCGCCGCCGCCATTTCGCGGTATAGGAGGTTAGCGTATGCCGACCACGTTGTTCGCGGCCAAGATAACCCTATTCGCCACGAGGTTGAAAAGCAGTATTGCGTTTTGGGCGAAATAAATCATAGATCGATTGGCAATTAAAAATATGTTTAAAGATGAGAAGAATAATGCAAAATTGAAATAGAAAAATAAATAGAACGAACGGCCGAAATAAGGTTACACGAGTAGTATGGTATAATTCGTTTATGGCGTAAAAAAACTTACCTCGTGAAGACGACAAGATCATATCGGGGTACTTGGGATTGGTGGCAATTTGAGTAACCCACCCATTGTGTCCCTCAAGGGTGCCTCTGAGCTGAAGAGTTTCAGTCATTTTTGCAAATTCGATTACTTCTTCAAGTGAGGATACAGGCGGATAACTTGGAGAATCTCCGAGAGCCGCTGAGAGACACCTTAGCGCTTCAACAGCTTGAAAGAAAGAACGATTGCTCCGGCGCGGCGAGTTCTGGAACGAAGGAAGCGTGAGTGGAGCGCGCAGCGCCGCATCATAAGCGGAGGAAACAAAAAAAGTGTGCTAAATTTCAAATTCTTCATGCACACATAGGATGCATTATTTTTTAAAATGTTTTTTAAACTTTGCCAATTTTTTTCGGTATTTTTTTCTATTCAACTTTTTTTAAAATGATTTTGGGATATTAATGACCGATTCCCTGTCAAATCGAATGGCGAAAAAAATTTTTTTTTTGCTAGTATGAAAAAGTGAATATTCCCAATGCCAGAAATGTTTCAAAAAATTTTTAGAAAAATTGAGGCCTCCTATAGCACTTCTTCAGAGGCCCAAAGTTGGCCTTTTTCTTAAATCCATGGTTATTGCTAATATGATGATAATTCCTAAATTAGTACAGAGACTTAAAAAAAAAAGTACAAGAGAGGTTTTTTGTTGAAAATTGTTCAAATTTTCAGAAAAACCACACCCCTAAGTGATCTGAGCACTCTAGGGGGTTGTACGACAGATAGAAACACATAATTGAATATTTAGTTGAGTTCGAACCGGACTTTGAATTTCAAAACTATTCGTTTAGCTTCCTGAAGTTGTTTTTTAATACTCCAGAAAGTTTTGTAATGGGTCTGCAATTCTATTAGCCTATAGAGAGAAAGACGTACCTGTATAATCAATAAAAAACATGAAAATAAGCCTTTTGCTACTGCTCCATATGAACAACTGGCGCTTTTCAAATGTTGTGGTATGAACAGATAGAAGTCATTAGATTAAAATTCAAGTTATTTTCACAAAAAGTAAGTGTTCTTGCATCAACAATGCAAATGAGATAAACAACGTAAATAAGTTACTTTATCTCATCATATACTATTGGGGACTCACCAAAGTTTATTTTCAAGATGAATTAAAGTTTTTAGAATAAAATAAGAGTACTTTTTAAAGTACATAACTGTTCAAGCACTTCAATGAATCAAAATGCAGACAAGTACTTGAGAAAAGTGAAAAAAATTGCTAGTTTTGACTATGTCGCATTGTTGATGCAAGAACACTTACTTTTTGTGAAAATAACTTGAATTTTAATCTAATGACTTCTATCTGTTCATACCACAACATTTGAAAAGCGCCAGTTGTTCATATGGAGCAGTAGCAAAAGGCTTATTTTCATGTTTTTTATTGATTATACAGGTACGTCTTTCTCTCTATAGGCTGATAGAATTGCAGACCCATTACAAAACTTTCTGGAGTATTAAAAAACCACTTCAGGAAGCTAAACGAATAGTTTTGAAATTCAAAGTCCGGTTCGAACTCAACTAAATATTCAATTATGTATTTCTGTCTGTCTTACAACCCCCTAGAGTACTCAGATCACTTTGGGGTGTGGTTTTTCTGAAAATTTGAACAATTTTCAACAAAAAACCTCTCTTGTACTTTTTTTTTTAAGTCTCTGTACTAATTTAGGAATTATCATCATATTAGCAATAACCATGGATTTAAGAAAAAATGCCAACTTTGGGCCTCTGAAAAAGTGCTATAGGAGGCCTCAATTTTTCTAAAAATCTTTTGAGACATTTCTGGCATTGGGAACATCCACTTTTTCATACTAGCAAAAAAAAAATTTTTTTCGCCATTCGATTTGACAGAGAATCGACCTAATACATAAGCAATAAATGACGATTTTACCATATTTTTCCCCGTTTTTTTCGTAAATGAGATATATGCTCGAGATGGTCTCAGAATATAAAATTATTTACAAATAAACATATTTATTTGAAGATCCTAAAAGCACGTGGCTTAATTAGTTTTAATGAATATTTAAAATTCTACACTTGACGTTAGTGAAGGTGGTTCAACAAATTCTTTCCTTCCAAAATAAATTTCAATTAATTCTGAAAATGAGAAAAAAATGTTATGTGAAATATATTTATAAAATGATAATAATAGTTAAAGGACAATAATTAATAATTATGTATGTAAATTTACGCATATAATATAAAGTTTTATTATTCAGTTTACGCATTATTATGAAGATTTTTTGGAGCGTTGATCATACATTTTTCATGCATTATTGTAAAAAAAATTGTTTAAACAATTTCATTAGTCAATATAATATTTTTCACTTGAATTGTAAGCCACAATAGATAGTATACGTTTTTGAAGTACTGATTATGCCTCTTTCATGCATTATTATGGTGGAATGAAACTAACACGTGACGGTATTTAATAAGACGTATGGCGCAATTATGTACAAAGCAAGTGCGACACGAAGTAGCAAGGGCCGAATAGCAAATTAATTTACCCCTGACACTTATGTATGCCAAAAAAACGGAAGCTGCCGTAAAAGCGACACGCGCTTTTCTTGGTATGGGATTTTTTTGTTTTGCTCTCCGATCACGCGCGAAATGCGGAAAAAAATGATGTACGATAGGAAGAGCGGATATTATTAATGTGGCAGTTTTGTAATGCGTGTCCCCATTCGCGAGGTGATATACGTACTTAAAGGGCACGCGTGTGCCGAGTTAGCCCTTGACTCGCTGTTCGAATGTATAGGCTGGCATCCTCGGAATTTTTCGACTTCCGCGGACGGATCGCAGTTATACAGAGTCGGAAAAAAGAGCAGCCAGGAGAACGATTCCCTCGACTCGTGTCAGCAGTCCTGCCGCAGACATCGAGTTCTGACCACCAGCTGTCAGTGCAGTATCTCGAAGCTTTATCCATCCATAAGTTTATAAACCATTATCATGAATGCACAAGAGTTTCGCGAGTTCGCTAAAGCCGCGGTCGACTACGTAGCCGAGTACGACGAGTCGGTACGCGACCGGCCGGTGCTGCCCGAGGTCGAACCGGGCTATCTGGCCCGACTACTGCCCTCGGAGCCCCCCAACGAGCCCGAGAACTGGCAGCAAGTGCTTCAGGACCTCGATCGACACATCATGCCGGGGGTGAGTGTTATTGTTCTAAGATTATCTTCACACGACAAAATTAATAAGTTTCATTGAAAGTTTCATTATAACAAAATTAAATTGTAACAGTAAAATTAAAAACCGTTTCATCGAGTTTGGTTGAAATGAAATTAATATTTTACTAAACAATTTCAGTTAATATACATTTAGTTTACCCGTTTTTAATTGTATAAACGAAGTTTTGTTGAAAAATTTTCAACGTAAGCTCGAGAAATCGCGATTAAAGATTTTGATCTTTCAATGAACTTTGTCAAGCTCTGAATCAGCTCTGAGATGCATACATGAAATTCTGTATAATATATGTCGTCACAGATGACACACTGGCACTCACCGCACTTTCACGCCTACTATCCGGCGGCCAAGTCGTACCCGTCGATCGTGGGCGAGCTGCTGAGCGCCGGCCTCGGCTGCATGGGCTTCTCGTGGATCGCCTCGCCAGCCTGCACTGAGCTCGAGATGCTCGTCACCGACTGGCTGGCCAAGATCCTCGGCCTGCCCGAGCACTTTCTCAACTCGTCGGAGGGCCCGGGCGGCGGCGTGCTTCAGTCCTCGGCCAGCGAGTCGACCCTCCTCAGCATGATCGCCGCGAGGCAGCGCTGCTGCAGCCAGAACAGGGCCCCGGCCGATCGGGACAAGCTCCTCGTCTACACCTCGAGTAAGTCGATCGATTTTTTTCGTCAAATCTCTTTCTTAAAATTAATGGTCGATCGGTTCGCAGATCAGGCCAACTTGAGCGTGGAGAAGGCGGCTCGGCTGGCCGACATGGGCGTGAGACTGCTGCCGAGCGACGAGCGCTGCAGCCTGCGCGGCTCCACCCTGCTCGAGCACCTGGAGCGCGACGCCAAGCGGGGCTACGTGGCTTGCATCTTTGTGGCGACCCTCGGCACGACGTCGACCTGCGCCTTCGACCGACTCGACGAGATCGGGCCCATCTGCCGCGAGCGAGGAATCTGGCTGCACGTGGACGCGGCCTACGCCGGGGCGGCCTTCGTCTGTCCGGAGTATCGCGAGCTCATGGCCGGCATCGAGCACGTCGACTCGTTCACCTTCAATCCGCACAAGTGGCTACTGGTCAACGCCGACTGCTCTGTCCATTGGTACGTGCCTTATACATTCCATCCATGAGTGCAATTATTACATCGCGTTGTATTCGGTAGGATCAAAGATTCGCGCGAGCTCACCGAGCCCTTCAAAGTCGATCGCGTCTACATAACGAACGATCCCAATCGCGCGTCCAGCAAGTCCTCATCGATTGCTCCCCGCGACTACAGGGTACGTATAATCGTACACGCCCAAAGGGGAACATTAGATATTCGTTATAGTATACTCCACCTTATTGTTTTCATCTTGTAGCACTGGCAATTGTCGCTGAGCCGTCGTTTTCGCGCCCTCAAGATTTGGCTGGTTCTGCGTCTCTACGGGGTCGAGGGACTGCGCAAACACATCAGAGACTCGGTAGGACTGGCCCAGCAGTTCGAGAAACTCGTCGCGGCGGACGAGCGATTCGAGATGCCGATTCAGTCAAGCATGGCCGTTGTTTGTTTCAGAATTAAGGTAGTGCATTTTAAATAAATCTTTAAAAAAATATTGAAATAAATATTTAAAAAACTGGAGGGAAAATAGATAGAGTTTAATTTAAAGCACTGGATATCAGTCTACGCAAAAATTATAATGAGTTTAATGACGCAGGGCAAGAACGAGCTGACAAGGCGACTGCTGGACAAGCTCATGCTGCGACGCAACGTCTACGTGGTGCCGAGCGTCTATCGCAAGCTCCTGATCATTCGCTTCGTCGTTTGCAGTCAGCTGACCCAGGCCGAGGACGTGGCCTACGCCTGGCGAGAGATGAGCGAACAGGCCCAGCTGGTGCTCGACGAGTGCGCCAAAGACGAGCGTCAGCTGCTCTTGCCGCAGCGAGTCGATTGTCCGGACGACGACGATGACCCACTTGTCATTCAGATTCAGCAAAATGGTCGTCGCCGTTCGTCCGGAGACGATACGATGTGTAGGGAGCGTTTTGAGCTAGCGCGCAATAGAGTTGATACTGGCAAAAATTCCAGCGGATCCGTACAGCACTCCATATCCGCGGCCTTTTTCAAGTTGTTTGCCGGTGCCTTTAAAAATGACCACAGGCAACTGGCCTAATGTTATGCGCTGCAGCAGATTACGTCGATGAGGTCTTGTCAACATTTGAATCGTATCCCTATAATTTCATTTAAAACTGACTTTTTAATTTTAATGTCAAAGAAAAAAACTGAATAATAAATTAATAAATCACCCGCACTTGCATTACTAATTTTTTTTTCTTTATGAATTCCTCGTTTCCTTTATCGTACTTGAGATGTATTCATAATTTATATTTTTGAATTTTTCGACTAAAACTTATTCGAGTTACGAGCTTAACGACCACGCGCAAATGTTCTTTCAGTCCCTGCTCAAATTTTCTACTCCACAACTTTTGAGCACACTATAAAAATTATATCGGGCGACCAATATTATAAGTGCCCGTAGGTCGAACTATACTTAATTTAAAAAAAATTCCGTGATTTGATTTTTCAAATTATGGCGTAACACATGCTAAAATAAAAACTGATTCAAATTTTCTACTTAATTTTAAAAAAGTACCAAAGAAAATTAAAGTTTCAGTAAACCAATTCAATTTTTCAATTTTTTTTTACATTTATTTATTTGAATATTTATTTGAATGATATATTTATTTATTTGAATAAAATATTTATTTAAATAATATGGAATATATGCACCATTTAAAAACACCGAGAGTTTGAAAATACTGTAAATCATGACTGATTATCACATTATCACATATCACATATTGATTGTCACATTATCACATAAATCACATAATGATTATCACATTATGATGAGCTTTGGCTTTCCATCGCTAAGCAAACATTATATAAATCTTTGTTCGTTAGATTCTTGATGATCTCTTCACAGCACACGATCGGCATCTTCATCATCTTCATAAAGGGATCCAGTGCCCATCGACGGAAAAATCCTCTCGATAGTTTTTCGCATAGGTGCACGATGCAAGCCTCAAAATAGATTCTGGGAATACTCCCCAATTTATTCGAATTACAGAACTTGAAGTAATCGGTATATGTGAGTCGTTTTTTCGCCTCATGGGGTTGGAATTGGATCAAGTCGTAGAGCGACAAGTCTGGAATTATCATTATTTTCTTCACCTCGGTAGCAAATTCCTCGTCTTCATAAATCGATTTGTCAAGATCCGTCGACTTGGCGAATAATTCATGATTGGCAAACAATGTCATGATCGTGAGGGCGACTTTTTCGGTCAGTTCGTATCCTCTTTCATCGAGATGTTCGACGACGGCCAACAGACCAGACGCTAGTATCAATTTAGAATTGCTGGAAACATGAAACCAGCTCTCGGATGAAAAATTTTCAGTGAACTGAGTCACACTGGGAAAGACAAAGTTAGACAGATCAGCGCCATTATCCAGGAGTACCTTAATCGTATCCAGTAAGAAGCTCGCCACGGCCCGTTGCAACGGTGTCCAGCCCAATTTATCTCGGGCATTTACCTGCACCATCCGATTGACTTCTTTGCAGATCTTAAAGAATACATCCATCATCGCCGAATACTCAGCATCGTCGCCGTCGTATCTCTTGCAAATGGTATGCAGAGCCGTGAATCCGTTATCGTCGGCTAAGTTTGGATCAGCTCCAGCCGTCAGCAGCGCTCGAATGATTCGCGGTTTCTTGCCGTAGGCCAGAGCATGGTGTAGCGGAGTTTGGATCGACTTATTGTCCACGGCATCCACCTGCACCGGTCGATGCTCGTCGATGCTGAAATTGAGCAACATCTTCACCAAATCGTCGTCGTCGTCGATGCTCATGCAGCTAAAGTGCAGAGGAGTCAATCCGTTCGCATCGGACAAGTTCGGGTTGGCGCCCCTTTTCAGTAGTAATTGGACCATCTTCGTGTATCTTCTGACCAGAGCCAAATGCAAAGGTGTGGTACCCAATTTATCTTGAGCGTCGGTAAGCAACGGCTCATGTCGGTCGTCGATGATCTTGAAGAACTTCTCCGCCATGCTACCGTCGTCATCGTCGTCGTCGCTCCCAATGCAAAAAAGATGCAGAGGAGTCGATCCCTCATCGTCGGCCAAATTAGGATTAGCGCCATGCTTCAGCAAAGATTCGGCCACCTCGTAGCATTTGTTGATTAAGGCCAAGTGAAGCGGTGAGTAGCCCGTTTCTGGCCAGATGAGATTGGGGTCCTGGCCGAGCTCGAGGAATTTCACGACGACCTCGTCACAGCCAGACTCGCAGGCTATGTGGAAATGCGATAGTCCTAACTCGTCGGTGTAATTCAAGTCGAACCTGTCGTAAACTTTAAAAAGCTCACGGATCATGATATCCTGATAAAGAAATCTGTTTCTGGAGGCCCAATGCAGGGGTGTGGTGCGACACAGCGATGGTGGCTTGCCCTCTTCGTCAAATTTGGACTCGTCCTTGTAGCCGCTACGGACCACGAAGTCGATGAATCGTTCTCCCTGATAATAACTTTTGTCTTCGAACATGTGCGAAGACAGCATGTATCTTATAGACAGAAAGAGAAGACACTCAATTTCTTCGGGACGAAAAATATCTCGAAGATTAGGAAGTTGGTCCGGCCAATCGCTGATCAAACAATCAAGTTGATCGAAAAATTCCCATCGCTCCTCATCGATCTCTAAATTGAAATTTTTCCGTAAGCTCGTCAAATTTTCTAAGCTCGACATCGTTGTGGGCACTCGCGCACAAACACACTCGTAATTTTACAATATAAAATATTTTCAATTTTTTTCTCCGAGGATCAATCGCTCAGGTGACGCTGTCCAAACTGACCAAGGCCTACCCAGAACCCATAAAAAACTTCTGCAGTTCTGACGTTATGCAGTTTTAGACGATGCCGCCGCTCTCCTCCAAATGGAAGCGAGACGACTCTCGACAGTCGGCACGATCGCGCGCCGGTTTATCACAAATTGACTGATATGTTCGTTTAATTGACATGAGATTGTATAAGTTGATTTAATTTTTTTTTTAATTTACTTATTTAAATACATTAAAAATTTGATAACGCTGTACATTGAAAAATACTAAAAATCGACGCTCTTCTGTAAAAATGGCCTGCTCATGTAAATACCACGAAATAACATATCTTTTCAATGGATACGTCACAAAAAAAACTTTATTTATTTTATTATTTTTTGTGAACGACAAGTATCACGAACGAACCTTTAAAGAAATTTTTATTCTTTTTCGCCAGGCGAGATTCACCGGTCGTAAACGGACAAGATCGTAGAGCGATAGGACGCTAAGCTATAAAATTAGTTAAATGATATCCGCCAAGTTATAATCGTCGTATTTTCCCTTGCAAATCATGAGTAAAGTAGTCAATCTGTCTTTGTTAACCGTATTCGGACCCATGTCTCAGCAGCGATTCAGCCACCTTCTTGCGGCCGTATTTAAGAGCCAAGTACAATGAAGTGTCACCCAACCAGTTTAGAGCGTCAACGAGGCTCAAGAATACAGTGATTGTCATGCCTTCGTTGTAGTTCAGGACCAAGTGTAATAGCGAATCACCCGCTTCATCGCCTCACAGGCTATGTGGAAATGCGACAGTCCGGATTCGTCGGTGTAATTCACGTCAAATATGTCGTATACTTTAAAAAGCTCATGGATCACGACATCCAATTCTAGCCGCGCGTTTTTATCAATTTTGGGCTGATCCTTGTAGACCACGAACTCAATGAATAGTTTTCCTAAATCCTTATTTAGATCATCGTCTATGAAAACAGTTCAAGTTTTTTCTGAAATGCACGTCGCTCAATTTCGATCTCCCAATTGACATATTTTCTTCACAAGCTTTTCAAATTTTTTCTCGACATCGTTTTGCTCATTCACGCAAAGAACACTTATAATATAAAATATTTCTTAATTCAACACCTACTTCGAACCACGGTGGTAAACTAATGCAGCTCTATGTAATGTGACATGCAGCGATCCTGCGAATGACGCGCGATGCAGTTAGAAGGCGACGTCGTCGACGAACGCGAGAAGACTCGATCGACAGTCGGCACGGTGGCGCGTCGACTTATCACAAAAGATTAAATTCAATTTCAATGAATCTTACGCTGAGAAAGACCGAAAATATTTCTCTGCAACTTCTTTCGATCAAAATTCCATTTTTGACGAGCTTTTCTTCCACTTTCGCGAGAGGTAATGGCTCGAAGGAAAAAATAGAACTGTACTCACACTCATACATATAAACCAATCATATCTATATATAATTGCGTTTTACAATGTATTGTACGTGCTAATTACGTTTATAACTTCAGAGAAATATTTCTATATATTGTAATTTTGCTATATAGCACGATTAGCGATTTGCGCGCGGTGCGCGGCCTCTACCTATTGCGACTCGTTTTGAGTCCGTGTGTCATTATATTGCATATAATATAGGTATAGGTATTGTTGTAACTCGTAATCCTATTCACTGATCCGGCTGATCGCTCATGTGTGGCTCATTATACATTGTCAGTCTGCTCTTGTGAACTTGATAACTTGACGCGCTGCAATTTTGACAACTGCAACGCTACACACCTCGGACGCATACTTTGCCCAACGAAAACAATTATCACTTGCTGCTTCGTTTGTTGTGATCATCGCTAAAATGGCCAACAATTCCACGGGTAAGCGAGCGAGCGTTGTCTCGAATGATTATTCGCACCGCGTCGCAGAGGTTATGACGTATTACAACGTATAAACGCTACCCTTGCTTTCAGAGGACAACAAAAGTCTGGTTTCCATGAACTCGGAGACGGAGAATGACAATAACACTGAGGAATCCGAGAAGATCATGATAATCGATCCAGAGACAGAAGTACGTGAATTCGAATGACTTTTTTTATCTCTTGCTTCGTGACCAAAACATGTTTTGTTTTTCAAGGAACTGGACTTCAACCATTCGCGTCTGTCGAAATTGGAAAATTTGGAGCCACTCACAAAGATCAAAAAACTCTGCTTCACTTGGAATCTCATTAAAAAGATCGAGAATTTGGATACATTGAGTACTCTTGTTGAGCTAGAGTTGAGAGACAATCAATTGACTGTTATTGAAAATTTGGATGCATTGGTTAATTTGGAGTGAGTAAAGTGAAATGTTTCAAGTTTATGTCAGTTCTGTTTAAAAATTTTTGTTTGTTTTCTCTCTTCACAGATTATTGGATTTGTCATTCAACAGAATTAAGAAGATTGAAGGGTTGACAAATTTAAAATCCCTCAAGAAATTATTTCTTTCTTCAAATAAAATTACAAAAATAGAAAATATATCACATTTGAAAAACTTGACCATCTTAGAGGTGGGGGATAATAAAATACGAGAGATCGAAAACTTGGAAGGATTAGAGAATTTAAGCGAACTGTATTTGGGAAAAAATAAAATATCAAAAATACAGCGTTTACATACACTGAAAAATCTTACTCTATTGAGTGTACAGAGTAATAGAATACAGTGCCTTGAAAACTTGACAGAGCTCACTCAGTTAGAGGAATTATACGCATCAGAAAATGGAATAGTCAATATAGAGGGTTTGGAAAAGTGTCCAAAACTTTCTACTCTGGATTTAGCTTTTAATAAAATCAAAAAAATTTCACATATTGACCACCTTGAAGAATTAGAGGAGTTTTGGGTCAGTATTAGTAATCACTACTAATTTAGTATTTTAGTATATGAAATATGATTTTTGATTTTCTGTTTTTTTTTTCAGATTAACAATAATGAAATTGAAGATTGGACTACAATAGAAGTCCTAACAGCAAACAAAAAATTGAAAACTATATATCTTGAGCATAATCCTATTTCCAAAGATCCTAGTTATAGAAGAAAAATCAAATTAATCTTGCCTTGGTTGAGCCAACTAGATGCTACATTATGTAGATGAGATAATTCTTCTTGATCAAATCAATGACTACAATCATTTCATCTGAAATACTAAACTTTGACACATTTCAAGTCTTGTATTTTCAATTCTAAACCTTGTGTTTTTGATGTATTAGCTATCAAATAGCCTCATAATTCTATTGCAGTAACGATTATTAAAACAACAAAAGACTGTGAAAAGTGTGTCCTACTTAACCCTTTTTTAAATAATCAATGTTAAATGACCCATTTTGTATACTATTGTATATGGAATGTTACTATCAATATGCATTAATGAGTATTTCTGTATTCCGATTGAATTCCAATTGAATTGTATATTTCATCACACTTCCAGAAGCAAATCAAATTTTATAAAATTTTATCCATGTATTTTATAAATTTTTTATTTTTCTCAATGTTGAAGTACTGAAAAAATACTGATGCCTCTCACAGATAATTTTATTTTTTTTACTATAAATACATTTTTTAATAAATTTACTGTATTAAGGATATAGAAAACTCCTGAAATTAATAAAAAAATACTTTTAAAAAAAGTTGGATTTTTTATTGCTGTCTAAAAAATTTTTAAATAGCTTTTTAATTATTTCCCGACTATTTCGTTATACTTCTCAAGGCCTCGAAATTCTTACAATCCGAAATTAAAATTCCAGAGAGTGGGTCATTGAACTTCATTCGCGCAAGACATATTTTCAATCGGTGCACAGTATGGACATCAATTGAACGAATGCAACCCGCAAGTTTTTCTGTCTTATACTTTTCTTCGACTTTTACTTTTTTTTTCGTTTCCATAAAACGGAGACCTACAAAAAAAGCTCGAGCTCGGGCTGCCAGGCGACATTTTTAACTTTACACTGCGGCCTATTGTGCTCGAAAATAAGCTGCCCATGTCACGAATTATTGATGCGCTCGATTCGTTCGAGGCGCCATGTGCCTACACATGGAGTGCATGCATACAAGGTAGTGTGTAGTACCCTATATAACGACTACATTCGTAATTCGAGTCGATGGTTAAACTGTACATATTTTGAGTGAGTAGCGCGACCGCCTCGAAGTGCTGCAAAAAAAATTTTGGCTGTCAAGTGTTACGGAGCCTACATAAGTAAGTGCCACACACACGTAAACATAGGGACAAATTGACATCTGCAAGAGAATTGCACGATACTATATATAGGATAACACACACGGGCATATATATATGTCTGACCGTATATAGTACGCATGTACACAGACTGCTGTATATATATAAACACGAGTTATAACTGTATACTGCTGTTGGCTGGCTCGCTCTCCTCTTTCGCTTGTAGCAGTCACTTGGTCTATTGACATCGGGCGCACGCAAGGCCAAACAGCTGATTTTCGCACTACAGGCCATGTAGACGTGCCAGCACACGCCAGCAAGCAACTCTTCATCGTCGAGAAAGAGAGCATGAGAGTCTCTCTCCTCGTCGATCACTACGTCCTGGGGCTGGCCTTTGGGACCCTGCGTTATTCGCATCCACAGAGACTTCTCGTCGTGCAGCTGCCTTCCTATTCACGACGGGCCTTACGATGGCTGAAATGTTTGCCTTTGAAGCCGACGACGAGGAGGTGACCATCATCAGCGATGATTCCGACATGGAGTGCTCCGTGCTCACCCAGGTTCGTAAATCTTTTATATTTGCTCTCGTCTCTCTTTCTCTCACTCGCGTGCGTTCTCTCGCTGTATCGCTCTGCCTTTTAATTATTCGCTTGTTCATTGTGCTGTGCTACTTTTTCTCTGCGATTGCAAGCTGCGAAATTATTTATTTTTTTTTAATATTACGTTTTCTTACAGCAGGTCTACAGCCACTGCCATGGCCTTCCTTACAAAGAGTAATTATTGTTTTTCCTTTAAATGTCACCCATATGCCTTTTTGATAAATACAGTTTCTTAACTTCTATATTGTTTGTAACAGAGATGAAAACTCTGGCGATTATGAAGTTATTGATATATCGGATGACAGTTGCATGTCATCGTTCAATCCAAATCATCAGAAGCTAACCCGAGATGATTTTGAATTTTGCAAAGTTATTGGCCTTGGTGGCTATGGCAAAGTGTATCAAGCTCGTAAAAAAACTGGCACTGATCGAGGTACTCTTTGTGCCATGAAGGTATATACTTTTTATTTTATTATCGTTTTTTCTTTTTCGTAAAAAGCTGAATCTATTTATTGATTATATATTTCAAGGTATTGAAGAAAGCTAAAATAATAAGAAGTCTCAAAGAAACTGCCCATACTAAAACAGAGAGAAATATTTTACAAGATATAAAGGTAAACTTTTTTTAATGAAGTACACAAGAAACCACCCTTACTACTTTGATTCTCATTAAATATCTTAACCTTTTGCTACAGCATCCATTTATTGTTGAGTTATTGTATGCTTTTCAAACTGAAGGTAGATTATACCTTGGACTAGAATATATGTGTGGAGGAGAACTTTTTTCGTATATGAACAAAGAACGTATGTTATATGAAGATTCAGCTAGGTAAATATTCAAATTCAAGATAATTTCTAAATCTTGATAATTTCATTGTTGCGAATTTAATAAAAAACATTCATTTCTTAGATTCTACATTAGTGAAATTGTGTTGGCTATTGAACATCTCCATTCTCATGGCATTGTGTACAGAGATTTAAAGCCAGAGAATATTCTTGTAGGTGCACAGGGACATATCAAATTATGCGATTTTGGGCTGTGCAAGGAACACATTAATGGAGATGCCATGACTCATACATTTTGTGGAACCATAGATTATATGTATGTATATATTTTTGAGTGTTAAATTAAATTTGAATCAATTTGAAACAGTGCATATATCTTAATTGTCTGTATATATATTTTTTTAGGGCTCCTGAAATCCTTTCTCAAACGGGTCATGAACGATCAGTTGATTGGTGGAGTTTAGGAGTTATGTTATATGAAATGTTAACTGGATATGTAAGTGTTGAAATTTGAATATGAATTAAAAATTTTTTTAGTCAACATTTTTTACACAATGATTTTTATAAACTTCAGCCTCCGTTTAAAGCTGAAAACAGGAAAGAGGCCTTGGAAAAAATCATGAAACTAAGATTAAAATTTGAATCATTTATAACAAATGCAGCTAAAGATTTAATTCGTAAACTATTAAAGGTATAGATATTTTTAAACTTAACATCTTGAACATAGTAGTATCTACCTATTGAACAAATGTTTAGAACAAACTTTTTACTTTCAGTTATATCCAAAAAGATTGGGATGTGGACCCAACGGTGCTGCCCTAATAAAACGACACCAATTTTTTAGACCTATTAATTGGGAGGATGTGTTACAACAAAAATTAGAACCACCTTTCAAACCAAAAATGAAAGACATAGATGATGTTTCAAATTTTGATAGAAAATTTACCTCATTAGAAGTTAAAGAGTCTCCTGAAAATTTTGCACTTAGTGAATCAGCCAAACAAGCATTCAAGGTATTGTACTTGGTATAAAAAATGAGTCAGTTTATCTATAAATTTTGACTAATAAAACTTTCAATGATTAGGATTTTTCATACAATGCCTTCAATGATAATGAAGTGGGTCAGCGCACTTTTGAGTAAGAAAATACTTTGATACCATCAAATTTTCATGATAAAGAACAAGTAAATTTTAATATATTTAAAATCAATTACTTTTACAGATCTGGCATGTTTAGACAACAATTAAACGATGATGATATCGAAATAATTGATATCAGCTGAAAAAAACACAAGTTCACCTCATGTACATACTATCATTTTGTTATACCGATAGATAATAAGATTTTCATTTAGTTTTTGGCTGTAAGAGGATAAACGTAAGTGATCAAGTCAGAATATCACTGATGAATTGTAACAATGACTAATATTAAATACTGTACATAAAAATACTATTATTATATTCTGTGATTGCACCAAGAAATACGCCTAATTACAAATATGAAAGAGTGGTTGCGTAAAACTGCCTAATCATAAAGTACTTCTTTATTTGGTAGTAGGTAGACCAAGGTTTGGAATTCATAAATATAATCGTATATATTTACAAGAATTTCATGTTAATTTATAGAAAAATTATTTTAATTTATTGTCAGATCGATAACTTACAAAGTGTATTACTCGCGTGTTATCATGTGTTCTAAAAAATAAAAAAGTGAAAAAAAATTGAGCATACTTTGTTCTTTACTCTTTTTTTTTACACGACTGCATTCAGAAATTCATGAGGCGCGCATGTCGCAAACGCTGCGTGATGCAAAAACGCGAACCTAGTGCATAGGAAAATTTTTCTCAATCATCAATTATATTATTTCGAAATTTTCAAGTGTGTGCGTGTAGACGTATCCTCGCAGAAAGTAAACGCGCTTATATATATGCAACGCAGTGCAGCAGTGCAACGAGTTCTATGTGCACTACTACTGCACTTTGGTATGTTTATGACTGAACGCGGCGACTCCTTACTCGTCACATGCACTCGCTCGCGGAACATAGATATATACATTGTCACTCACACTCTTTCGCGCAAACTTGTGACTCGAGCAAATCAGTGCTCATCTAGGCATTGTACGTTTAGGTATAGGTATGTGTCCTTGCCTGTGAATATAATAAATCACTCACAAAACCCACGTAGTGGGAATAGACAGATACATGTATACATAGGTACAGGTGTATACAAATATTGATACGTCAAACGCGAATGTCAAGCTAGCGGATTCGGTGTTTGTTGCTGGTGAATTTTTACATTGTTATCTATGATGGGTGGATAGTGCTATAGTTGATGTTTTACAAGGAGGTGTAACCTGTCAAAGTGTGTATGTGTTTTTTACCTAAGTGATGAAACCAAATTCTTTACAAATTTACTATTCAGTTCAAATGAGTGATACATTATAAAAGCAAGTATTGTTTATTCACGAATCTTGTACGAGGTTAGAGACAAAACCACACCTGTTGAAGAATAGAGACTTCTTTTTGGAAATATAATGCGTCATTCTTCATGGTCGATGTTGCAAGCTGAGAAAGCTTTAAATAGTTAATGTCATTTTACGAAAGAAAATTAAAAGCAAGTAATAGTTGATTTTTACGTTTTTACTACATCAAGTTTACAGCAAATATATTCAGAATGGCTACTTCACGATCTTCTAATGGAATCGGTCGTCATTCGCAACGTTCAACGCTGTTAAAAGTTGTGATTCTTGGAGATGGAGGGGTAGGAAAATCCTGCTTAATGAATAGATTTGTATCAAATCATTTTGATGAGCAAAGTTTCCATACTATTGGAGTTGAATTTCTCAACAAAGACATTGAAATCAATGGAGAATCCTATACTCTTCAAATTTGGGATACTGCAGGGCAAGAAAGATTCAAAACTCTTAGAACACCTTTTTATAGAGGGTCTGATATATGTTTACTAACTTATGCTGTTGACGATCCAGTTAGTTTCAAAAATTTAAATCTATGGAAGTCAGAGTTTTTGTATTATGCGGATGTTCCAGCAGAATCATCTTTTCCCTTCATTATTGTTGGCAATAAAGTATGTTTATTTATGAGAATCTATCACTATAAATTAATTTGAATTTATAAAAATAAAAATCTTTATCATTTTTTAGGTGGATGTCCCCGAAAGTGAAAAACGCGTTACTACAGAAGAAGCTGAACAGTGGTGTTCTGTTAATGGTGGTTTACCTTTAGTAGAAACATCTGCTAAGGATGCAACCAATGTAGAAACTGCATTTAGTGCAGCTGTAGCAGCATGGGCCAAGCTTGAAGCTCGTGTTGAACGTCCACTGCTAGAGGACACTGTAGATCTTTCTAAACAACAAAATGCTTATCGCTCAAGTTGCTGTCTGCCTTCGTTTGTTTAAAGTCATAGTTTTTATTTGTTACTAATTGAATGAACATCAATAGAGTATTATCAATAGCTTTGAAAGTTTACATTTTGTGAAACTATAAATAATTGATAGAGTAGTGTATGTATGGAGCTTGAAAAATCTCATACACTTTTTTAACATTTTTGTAAATGACCAGAAATTTAATTGTACATAATATAGTCTATATTTGATTACTTTGCAGAATCGTTTTAAATTAGAAAAGTAGTAGAAAAAGTTTTATATTTACATGTATGCAAAAAAATGTGTAAAACAAGACATAGAAAGTTAAGCATTTTTAACCATTTTAATGGTGTCTTGAGTCTCAAAATTAAAAAAAATGTATGCATCTATTAATTGGTTAATTTTGACGTATATTTTCTTGAAGGCGTATAAGAGAAAGAAGTATATTTTTAAAAATATTTTTCTTACCAAAGTCATCTTAACAATTTCATTAATGAAATTTTTGTACAAATTTTTTTATTTATCAAAGATGTGAACGAATTCAATAAAAGTGCAATCTTTATGTAAAAAAATAATTTCAAACTTTATTTGCCAATTCATTAAAAAATCTCATAAATAATGTCTATTAGTTAAATCAAAGAGAAAAGTTATAGCGACGAGTAAAAAACAAAAAAATACTCTCGTCTTTAGTGTAACCCGTTATTTTGAAAAATATCGATAATTTTCAATCGATACACGAGAACGATTTTCTCCTTTGATCCAACGTAGTGATTCAGCTTCAATATAACAAATTACTTGACATTACGAGCTATGTATAAAAATATAAATCTGCAAGTACAACTGGATAAGTTTACTTGCATTAGCTCAATTGAACTGAAGCATAATAATGTTAATACAATAGTTTTAAAAAAAGCGAGAAAAAAAATGCATGCTGCACTTTGCATTTGCTTCGCGTCATGTTTTATTTGCACAAGTACAAAATTAACAGTTTATTTACTGAATACCGTTTTTTTTTCTGCAAACGCGACGCAAGTTTATTTTTGCCGTTCTCATTAAATATTTTGTGCTCACTAAAATGATACGCTTATCCAGTCATACTGTAGGTCATCATTTTTTCAACATATATGCTGCATGATTCGAGCGCCTCGACATGACAGCGCGCATCTCACTCTTTCTCTTTCTCTCTCTTTTTCACTCTTTCTTTCTCAGTTCAACGTAGATATATATATGTGTGTATATATTATATGAAAAGCTTTTTCGTCTTCAACAATAGTTACACGATTAAAACATGTATATAATTATATTTATAATTTACATATATATAGATGTCTATACACAGGATGGAAATTAAAAAAAAAAGTTCATTTTGCTCCTATTCGAAGATATACTTTCCATTCAATTTTAGCACCCTTGATCGGCCAGATGCTTCGGTTGGATGCACTTCGTCGATCGACAAAGTTCATTTTCAGCGGTCCGAAAGTAGCATTTTCCGGTGGCTGTGCTAAACGGAAAATGTTATTTTTGGGCCACGGTTCATAGAAAATAGCATATACCGGCCTAGGCATCGAAAAAAGAAAGCCACAGTACACATGTGTTGGGACTTTTTCGTTTTTTCGCGGCTTAGGGCAGTAATATTACCATTTATAACGATCATACAAAATAATACCTTTTGTACAAGGGCGTAACAACTCCAGGCCGTATATTATTATTTATATTTATAAATAAGACTACAGTAAGAACACGCATCCTCGCGCCTCGTATAGCCATAAAGTCTCTCTCTTTGATTGCATCAAGAACAACGAAAAAAAAAAAAATTTATAATATTGTCACGACTGAGCGGATTTGGCGTGAGATTCGTTTGTAGGCATGCGAACTCGGGTAACGAGCATCGATAGTTGCTGCAACTGCTGTTGCTCTGTCGTCATCTTTGTCGTCGGGTCCGAGCGGCACCACCTCGTCTTGGTGGAGTACGCCGTAGTAGTTGTGCGACGGTGCGGTCGCGGCTCGTTCCACTAGTGGCAGTGCTCGGTCACGTCGACGATCACGGACTTCTTCCAGCCGAAGAGGAAGTAGCCGATGGCCGCCCCGACGACGACGGCGGCGCACAGCCACGAGTTGTACGTCATGAATATGAGCATGAGGAAGTACGAGAGGATGATTTGAACGATGTGCAGCGACGTCTGGAAGGCGTGCATCCACGACAGCATCGTCGGCCTGGGGATAGATAAAAATAGGGATAAAGAAGGATGAGCTTGCGATCTATTAGCTATTGCAAATTTAATCTTTTTTTTTTTAAATTATTTCACATAGATGAGATTAATGGAAATACTCACGGCTGCCTGTGCACGACCTCTCCGAGCATGCTGCAATCATATCATGGAGCATAATTTCGTCGAGGTCTGCTTACGCACGCACACGAGAATAAACAGTATTTTAAGAAAACGTAACGCATACTAACCGAGCCAGTCGATTGTCTTCGAGCACCGCCGCCGTGGCCGAGCCGTTGGAGCCGTTGGCGACGTTGGAGCCCGAGCCCGGGCCTACGCTTTTCTCGCTGGGCGGTCCGGCGACGCTGCGATACTGCAACGAGTTGTAGGTCTTCCAGAACAGATACTCCCGGTAGTACTTGAGGCCCTCGTAGAGCGCCGCCATGATGACGATGCCGATGATGGAGCCGATCAGGCCGCCCAGCGACGATATCTTCCAGCCCTCGAAGAGGATCGTCTCGCAGTAGCCGCCGTGGAAGGCCATCTGAGGAGGGGCCCACGATTATTTCGAGGTCAATTTAAAACGAAGCTTTTTCCACTCACCGACATGCCGTGCATATGGCCGGAGCTGCCGGAGCACATGCTCTGCTCGTGAAGACCAGCCGCGTCGTGTCCAGCGTGTCCAGCGTGGGCATCGTGGCCAGCCCCGTGGTGGCCCTCGTGGTTCATCATCGTCATCGGCGTCGTCGTGGCCACTATCGCCCCGCCGATGGCCTGCATCAGGGTCGAATTGAACTGCGGCATCATCGGCTGGGAGTGATCCATACCGCCGTGCATGCCGCCGTGCATGCTGTGATCGGCCATGCCTCCCGCCTGGTGCTCGATGTGATCATGGTGCGACATGCCGCATGCGACTCGAAGCTATACCTGCAGCAGCAAATATCGTTCTGTATTAGAGTCAGGGGTTTGCTATTTTTTTCCTCCTGTGCAGCAGCCTCAAACGTGCCTCGGAGCTGCTTTTCGTGTATGTATTATTTAAAAAAATAAAAAGGCAAAAAAATATATGTGTTACACGACGTGACAAGCTCTTGTCACGATTCGCACGATATATATTATCGCGGCCGCGCGCACTACACAGGTTTTCCGTATTATCTTTATCGCGAGGAGCGTGCGGTTTCACGCAAATCGTTTTACATCTCTGTAGTAGCAGCGGTTTCCGGTTATCGCGGGAAGCTTTACTCGACCTTCCGTCTGCAATGGTCAATATGTATACCGATCTCTCCCCGCGAGACGCGCACCGATTGATCTATATTTATAATTTATAATTTATTGTATGTACGCACAAGGCAACCTAGTTAAAGACCGCGATGATCAATTTCCCACCTATTTATATTGCGAGTGTGGAGCTGCGCGGAGCACAATGTCATATCTCGGATCGGCCTTTATCACTATCGTACGTACTTGAGGTGGGAGGACTCGGGGAAAGAGACAAAAGTTATACGAGAGAGAAATGTAGAATCGATGCGCAATATAGGCATAAACATTGGAATTTCCATTTAAACGGCGTCACGGATAACGCGCGCGCAATGCCACGACTCTAGTTATACATACCGATACGTGGAAAAATCGATGAGCAACGCGTGCGCTCAATATCCTAGTATTATAGACGAGAAAAAAAATTGCGCGATTCCCCCCGTGGCCTTATCCGCGCCGCGCGGATCGGCGCCTTGTGAAGTCTCTCGAGCTCTCCGGAGTCGCGGATCTGTGCGCCCATGTTGACGCAGCAGCTTTTTGCAACACCTGTTGCCTATTCTCTCAGTGAGCGGCTCGTTCACACAAGATACGATATCGCTGCCGCGAGTCCTTTCCAACTCTCTTTTTTTTTCTTATACGCTCCGGGCGCCTCAAACGCATATATACGTACACAATACACGCGCGCACAAGCAATTGGGGACAGCTCAATGTTTTTGCTCTCGGCCGCTGTTGCTGCAGCTACTATCACGACTCGTGCAAAATATATACAGATATAGGATGTGTATATAATGCGACGTGACACACGCCGTTCGTATGCCGTCGCCGCCACCGCGACGGATAATGAGAGAGTATAATATGGGAGCTATATAGCTTATATCGTACGTACGTAATAATCGCGAAACTCGAGAGTTAAATGGCTGCGATTGCCTTTTCGCAAGGATACGGTATATAGTGGCGCGGCAATTCTAGCCGCAGCAGCAGCAGCTAAAGTGAAAGTATATATCGCGTGTATAATGTGCAAACTACACAGCCAAAGTCTCTCTCGCTCTCTGGCACGCAGGCCGTGTTCGTTCGCTTTTTTTTGCGCGATGGCTGCTATTATATGCTCTCTCTTTTTCTCACTCGCACTCTCTATCTCTCTTTCTCTCTGCAAGTCGCCAGCAGTCAGCGCGACTCGCTATTGCACTGACTTTTTATCTACAATCTTCAAAATCCACCGAAACGAGTTTTCTGTTTGTTTTGTCGTTTACGCGCGTTACGTATACACACGGCACCGGAATATTATTGTACCCGTGACGAGCTGTCTCCGCGATAGGCACAGCTCCTATCTATTATATTCCATTTCAGAGGATTCGGATACGCAATGCAATATCCAAGAGAGAGAGAGAGAGAGAAAGAGAGAGTGGAAAGCTCGGCAGCTGCTATGTTATTGCTAACGTCACTTTAAACGAGTCTCGAGCTTCGGCCTTAGCGGATAGCATATAATTCCAAAGCATCGAGCGAGAGTAAATGTTTTACGACGAGTATGAGGTAAACGCAGCTTAATTATGCGCGACTAACCTGCTCCGATAAGTCGAATTGAAGAGACGTGTGCGATTATGTGTTGTAGTATCACAGAGCCCAGTCGTCCCCAGACGAAGGTTATGTCACCGACTTGCACTTGTGTGTTCTGTTATATACATGTAGCGCGAGGAGGAGCAGGCACACGCCAGACGCACACGCGTGCATATATATCTATAGATACAAAACGCACAAAACGGGTCGACTATGTAACAATAATCGAGAGCGAGCGCTGAGAAAGGCTGTGTGCCGTGCCGCAGCTTTGAATTTCTTCGACGACTCCGATTTGCCCTTCTGTGTAGCAGTAGCAGCAGACGATTGACTAATCTGTGTCGATTAAAAATTGCTTGCCGATCTTTAACTGCACGCACGCACACACAGTCACACTCGCTCGCTTCGACACTCGAGGAGAGTCTGACTATCGATACCCGTGAACTGTCACTCTTATGTGAGAGAGAGACTGTAGAGAGCATACATAGGATATATAGTCGTGTGTGCTCTCGAGACTACTCTCGTGTGCTGCTACTCGAAAGTCAGGCGTCTGCTAGTTGCGTCTGCTGCTGCCACTTGTTTCTCCTACGGTCGAGCGTCGTACTATGACTCCGAAAAACGCAACACATCGTACACACGGCAGACTGCAGAGTGAATGTACCGACGCGATGCAACGACATACACACTGATACACACAGGCGTAACTTGCCAACCGTTGGCTCGAGTAAACTGCATACGACTTGTGCATCCAATGTTTATTTACGCCGGCAATTTTCCAACGGCTGCAGTCGATAAATGTTAATTTGTTGACACAGCTGCAGCTGTCCACGATTTAATCGATATGCAGCTTGTCATTATCGGATGATCAAGCTCAAGATTAATTGGCTTTCTAAAAGTACTTGAAATATGACAAATATTTTATCATAAGGTACGAGGGAAAAATTAGTGCAACGGTCTGTATAATGCGGAGCTGCTGTTGCTGCAATGGAATATTTACTGCACTGACTTGCACTTCATCTGTCAGTTTGCCATTGAAGAAGTCACCGACAGCTCCAGTAGAGGTCGCTTTTCAGCAGTCAAATCAAAACAAATTGTCTTGAGCGCGTCGTCTGCAGAAACTTGTGTCGACTGACGAATTGACGATTGTTTTGTCTTTGCTCCGTGGTTTATTTGTGTTTTACAGTCAGTGAAAAATAATCAAGTATCAACTATATTACCCAAGTTCATTTTAGAATTAATTCGTTTTTATGCTTTAACTATATTAACTGAAAAAACAAAGACTTTGCCCCTTGGAATCAGTAATTTTGTGTGTTACATATACATTACAAACAATCAATAGCATTATGTCGTTTATGCCACTGTGGCCGGATCTACAGCCAAGAGCTACAGATCCTCTGTGGTTCAATGCAGACAAGCCCATTGACGATGAAAGTCAAGTGGCTGCAATGGAACTGGAGTTTGAAGCTTGGGTAAGAATCTACTTTTTGTATGTTATCGTATCGCAACATGACAATGAACATCTTCTATCATTTACTTATGTGATTCTTGTTTTTAGCGAGAGCAGATAAAAATTGAGGGTTACGAACACATACCAATTGGAAAGTCAGCCAGCGACGTGAGTTAAAATCAAATTATTCAATTAATCAATGTTGCTAATTAGAGAATATTTTAATAGTTTAGAGGATCTGAAGAAGAGGAAGAAGAAGAAGAAGAGGAGGAAGGTGAGGGTGAAGAAGAGGAAGATTCTGATACACACGAAGAAGAGGAGGAAGAATTAGATGACATAGACATGGAAGTAAGTTATTCTCACCCACAACAGAGATCAAGTCCTGCTGATACTTCAACAGATCAAGTTGTCATTAGAATGGTATGTGCTACAAGTGTACATCAATTTAGATATTTTCATTCAATATATTAGAATCATTTATTTTATTTTTTAATTAATTCAATTACAATGAGTCTATGATATAGATGAGTGAATATAATGTTCTCAGCAATGAGTGCATTGAATCAAAGGTATCATTAACTGTATAATTGCATTTGGAGAGTTAATTATATTTTAGCGAGCAATCATAAATTTCATCTAATGATATGCTTATGAATTATAGCTTGAATCCTTTTTTTTTGTAATTTTTATGTTAAATGCTTTGTGAATGCATTAAAATTTGATATATCATTACAGGAACCAAGCGGAGCTCCATGACCAATGGAAAAGCAATAAAGTAGGCAATAATTGTTTTTTATTATTTATACGGATGTACCATAAAATTGTAAATAAAAGTTTGATACGTGCATAGAAAAGTGAAGTGTCTTTCTTTGTTATGGAATCTTAACGAAGCTTGTAAGCAAGTTTTACAATCGCTGAGAAAAAAAGCTCGTCATCGGGTTTCGAAGAAAGTAATTATAGAAAAAAGTCGACGAATCCCTCTCATCCACTGCATCAGGCTGCTATAAAAAAAAGTCTCGAAAATTAGTCAATAAGAACGCGAAGAGAGGCCCAAGTCGGAGAGCTCGGTGTCGACCGACTCGAGCGCGCGCAGAGCGTGGACTGCGATCGCCGAGCCGACTGCATCTCCTATTATAAGTAAGTGCAGCTTGTACACATTATATGCATATACCTATATATACGCGCGTGCGAGCGAACGGAAGAGAGAGCAGTGTGCTGCGGCGAGCAACAGCAGGCAGCCAAAGCAGCAGCAGCATGAGCGCGAGCGAGCGCAAAGTCAGGTTGCTGCCCTTTCCAGGGTGAACGAACCGCTCGCGCGCGCGCGCGGCAAAAGCGAATCCGTCTAGTTCTAGCTTCTGCACGCGGCGAGCGACTCCTTTCCTTTTCTCGCAGCTCGGTACACGTATGTACGTATATGAGTATATATGCGATCCTAAACACGCTGCACACGCATACATGCACATACACACCTTTTCGGGAGGTGAGAGAGAGAGAGAGAGAGAGAGAGAAAGACTCGAGCTTGCACGCGCAGAGATCATTGCTGCCTCCGATCGTGTGTGTGCGCGTATGAGGGGCACACGATGCATTTAGGAGCACGTGTGTGTGTTTGGATCTTACGTAGCCGTGGCAGCTATATATTGCCAAGTTCGCGAGATTCTCGCCTCTCTTTCTCTTGCGTGTGATAGCGCAGCGGAGAGAAAGAGAGAGAGCTCGATCTGACAGATCGACTGGAGAACGTGCCAATTGTTCGGCTACATAGCACCAGCGCCGAATTCGTCGATCGGCTGTCGAGCTCTGCGCTTTTATAATTGCGGGTATATAGATAGCTCGTGACTGCGCGAATATACTTTTTCTTTTTTCTCGCTCGCGCGAACGCTGCGCGGGCCCCGTGTCGACGACGCCTCTCTCGCGATCTCGATTCCGCGCGCGCTCGCGGCTCTCTCGACTCTCTCAGCTGTTTTCAGTTGTGCTGCTGCACGTATAGTATATATAGGCGCATTTTCTCTCCGTCTCTCTCTTTCTCTCTCGCTTGCTGGCTTTGGCGAGCTGTGCGCGCACGAGGGGAGGTCAACGGCCTTCGCTTACACGCGCTGCTAGCTTCGCTGCTGCTGTGGCTATATAGTACTCGGGGGCTCTTCCACGTACATATAGCGTGTGCACTACTACCACTACATATCCGAGAGAGTCGAATGCACTTTTCTCGTGAGTGAATTTTTTCGACGCTCGCGCACAGCTCAAACTCGTATATATTGCAGCCAACGCCGCGCTTCAAAAGCTTTTCTATTATAAGTTGAACATAGTTCGCACGGTAGGCGATAGAAGCTCGTCGAGCTTCTATATTATTAATCTAGATCGCGACCAAAAAAGGTCGGAAGCTGGGAGCAGATCGGATTAGCCGGTACCAAGGATAAACGGCTCTGTCCTATACCGATTTCTAATACAAGAAATCGGCAAGAACGATCGATCGGGATGTGTTACCGATCGCCGCCAGGACGCAGTACGCACACACGTCACGCGGGATCGACTCCGGCGGCCGTTTTGAAACCCGCGAGCCACGAGCAAATTCTGCATAGTATCGGTATATATAGCCCTGCTCTCTTCTTCGTTCGTGTATACGTATTCGATACAGCTTATTTGTGTATCGCATTATGCATGTGCGTGTGCTTCTGGCGGCGCAGCAGCGGTAGCGCTGACGTAACATTACGCGAACGAACGTCGAAGACGGGGAAGGTGCAGAGAGTGAAAGAGGCAGCAGTGGAGGAGGAGGAGGAGGAGTAGAAGGGGGATAGAGAAGCATCGTTCGTTTCGCTGCTGCTGCTGCAGCGCAACGAGAGCTCCGACTCGCGCTTCGTACACACACATTATATAGCATGTTGCAGTTCGCCATATAGGTATATACAATAGTATACCGATCGGCGCGTCGAGAGTCAGAGAGTCCGTAGGAAGGGCGGCCGCCCGAGTATAGCGCAAAGCAAAGAGAGCTCTCTCGCTGCTGCTGCTGCGAAAGCGGCGCTTGTGCTCGCGAATCGTCGTCGCATGTGTGTGCGCGCGCGAGGCACACAGTCTTCTGCGCGTAGTCTCTCATATACGCGAAGCGGCGGCAGGGTCAGTCGATCGGGCGCTCGCGCGCCACCCGCACTATAAGCCTCCTTTATAAATACCAATACACACATATGTGTATATATATATTTATATATATACACACAATAACAAAACACAGTAAAAATAACGAGCGCAGCTCTCGAACCAATCGCATATATCTCTCTCTGTCTCTTGTTTGCTCTCGAATCGTCGACGATCGGATACCACCGATTTGTCGTCGTCGGCGGCTTCGTCGTTTTGTCACGAGCGCGAGCTTGCACCTATATCTATATCATTATTATTATTACGCGAGAGAAGAGCAGTAGTACCAGTGGGGACCAGAAGAGAGCTTGCAAGCGTCAAGTGCGCAGACACGGTGCTCAATCATATTATTATAATTATTATTATTATTATTATAACATGCAGTGCACATGAATGTGTGAGGTGCAGTGTGTCCAATCGGCAAGTGTATCAATAATATATGCATCGGAATTGAGACAGTGTGATCCCTGTTATTGTTGAACATTAGCTAAAGTTGATATAGAGTGCAGTTGAGCCGGCGGTTAACGTCGCGGGCAGAGTCGGCTCCCTCGTCATGTCGGCTTAGAAAAAGAGAAAGAGCAGCTGCACTTGGCCGTGCCGAGTCCTGCAGGTAAGCCCTCGTATACGTACACACATCTCTGATCCTTATGCACGCAGCAGCACCAGCAGCTTCTACTACATGCACAATATATATGCCTAGCTAGTTCTAGCTCTAAGCTAAGCTAGCTCACGGCTTCTCTCTCTCTTTCTTTCTCTATGTATTAGTATATAGACGTGCCTATGGTGCTAGTCGAGCTAGCAACAGCAGCAGCAGCAGCAGCAGCGAGCGCATAGAGAGAACCTAGACTATGCTAGCTAGCTAGACTATATTGTATATACGTACGCGGCTCGGCGGGCGCGCGCGAGCGGGGTCTCTGACCGCGCGCGTACATATACCGACTCGAGCGCGCGCAACAGCTCCTCTCTGTTATTTCGTATCGCGTATATATATACACACTTCTAAGCGCGCAGTGCTGCACTAACAACGCACATGCATATAAGCGCACACGCATGCACTCATACACATTCTTGCTCGCGAGCCATATAGCATGCGCGTCGTTATAAGCGAGCGAATTATTATAATATATGACGTGCGTGTGACGCGAGCTTTCGCCTGGGCCTAGAACTCGAGGCTGGTACCGGCGGGAGGCTTGCTTATTAACGATCGTATATACCGATCGACAAGCTCGAATTGCGATCGGTACCTTGTATGCGGACCCACAGACTTGTATACTTCTTTCGTGCAAGACGCGAGCTCGTTTTCGCTACCGGAGAGAAGGCGCTATTTTTTTTTCTAAATGTCATAATTCGTACCCATGTATATTTCAGATTGTGTATCCAAACTGAACTTTTTTTATTCGATAAACACTTGTAATTGCACACATTCACGTTTTGTGCACACCAAAGTTGATAAAGCGTTTGTAACAAACGAGAGAGAAAGAGAGAGTGTGTGTGTGTGTGTGTTTGTGTGAGCTATATGGTGCGTTTGTATGTATCGAGAGCTCCACTCCGCAGCGCGCGCGAGAGAGTGGGAAAGCGCGAGAGAGTCGCGAGCATAAGCTATGGCAGCCACAGTAACAGCAGCAGCTCGGAGAGTCAGTGGCCGCACGAATTCGAGGGTTCAATGCCTTGGCCGCGGCGGTGACTGCGCTGCCTCTGCTGCTGCGGCGGGAAAGCCGAGAGCTCGAGCAGCAGCAGCAGCAGCTCATGAGCTGTGTACATGTATAGGTGCTTCGAGGCTCTCGGATGGGGGTGTCATGCCGATGTGGCTGCCCTCACTGCCTCGCATGCTTTTGCTATAGCTATATACCTGACAGCAGCAGCAGCAGCGACAGAGATCGCGTCGAGCACACTCGCTTAGAGCTGTGACACTGCCAAGCACAGCAGAAGCTCTAATCTCTCGGGGTCGCGTGTGCTCTGCTGCTGCTGCTGCTCGAAATCTCTCTCTCTCTCTCGCTTACGTAATTTTAGTAGTAGGAGCGCGCGACGTGACACGATCGGAATTAGGCACGCGCCGATGAAGCTTCGATCGTTACATATATATACCGTCTCTGCGTTTGTCATGCGACGAGTGACACGCGAGTCGACTATGCCGTTGAAAATCGTGGGTTGGTGCTTTCGGCCGGTCCTTAGGAGTCGCGCGCGGACTTGTTGCTCCGACTCTCGTTGTTGTCTCCCTCGCGGGAGATCGGCGAGAGATGTGTGGGTGGCGCTGCAGCAGTTGGCAAGAACAGAGCTCGAAATGCATATAGCCGAGGGAGAGAGAGAGAGAGCGGCTGGACGGGGGCTGACGGGGGCCAGCTCTCGAGACTCTATACGTATATGCAATACGCTCGAGCTATACGTCGACGAGTTTATGTGTGTGTGTGCTATTCTCTTTCGCTCGCTTTCGCGAGAGAGCCGCGCACACACACACCTACTCTCTATAAACATCGAGGCACAGCTCTCGGAGTGTATACCACACCACGATACGATGTGCTGCAGTGTGGTGTATGTATGTATGTATATGCACCGCTGCTGGCGGCCGCCTCGCTCTCGAGCCTCGCCAGAGCGTCTGCAGTGCATTGACCGCGCTTGACCACACGTCATCGAGCGCCGCCGCGTGACGTCACGCACCGGCTGTGTGTACTCCGCGGGCCGATGCTGCTACTTTTCCTCCTCCTCCTCCACGCACCTC